ATTTGTGTGATTTGTCCCTGATAATGTATACATTTCCTGGAAGTGATAACGTACGTACCTACGTGAATATGGCCAAACGAATTGTACAATCCAGTTAAAGGATTAAGAACAAGACTGGTGTGAGACCATTAGCCGGTCTTCACTCCAAAGCATTGAAGCAAGGGCGTAGACCTCATTTACTTTATGTCTATGGCACCCCTATTTCCTGCCCAAGTGAATCGGGTAATGTAAATAAGTGTAATAGACATAGAGTAGCCGATATACTCCGCAGTGAACAGAAACCAAAACTTCGCCAGACAATGAACCTAGACAACAATAAAACGCATCCCGGCGGGCGTTATCTCTACGCAGCAAGGGATTGTTGAATGGAGACTGCGAGAGGCTGACGCTTCCATTGTTAGGTTCTTCCTCCATTCAAGCACTGTTTACTTATCATCAAGCTTTTCAGATGAAAGCTCAATCTGTATCTCGACATGTCTTTTTCGATGTACCGTTTGCCAAGTGATATCTATCAACCGTCTTTCAGTAGCAAGTTTCTTAGTTTGGTACTCGCAAAGTTCTGATTTCTCTGTAAAGGATTTTTTATGCGATTCTAACTTTACCGGAATACGGAATTTAAATTTCTTCTAATCTTGCGCCTTCATGAATAAATCTCATGTTAAATATACTGCCAATGACGTTCGCATTTCGCGAATGCGACAGAGCAGCTGGCGATCCCCAACAAAGGTTTTATTTATTTATAATTATGAAACCTATGGCATATCAATTAATACAACAATATATGTACTCATATATTACAATACGTATACGACATCATAACACACGCATTTATTTACCTATTTTTATTTGCATGCATGCATACATTTTTACTGGTGGAAGGATGTCTCGTGAGTCCGCACGGTTGGTTACCATCACCCTGCCTGTGCTGCCGTGAAGCAGTAATGCGTTTCGGCTTGAAGGGTAGGGCAGCTGTTGTACTGTAAAAACTGAGACCTAAGAACTCATATCTCGAAGTGGGTGACGGAATTTACGTTGTAGGTGTCTATGGACTCCGATAACCACTTAGGTAACACCAGGTAGGCAGCGTGCTCGTCCACCCACCTAAGAAATAACAAAAAATAGATAGTATCTTGGTAGTACGCAGTCCTAGGCTGTGTCCCTTGTTTTGTGGAAGGGTGGTATAAGCAACTGTAGCTACTTACCCAAAATTGGTCACTGAGCTAAAGAATACGTACGTTGTAATTTTGTATTCAAGATATAAAAATAGATGAATATTAATCTATATATTAATACGTGAAGCAAAAACTTTGTATCCCTTTTTACGAAAATTGCGCGGACGGAGGAGTATGAAATTTTGCACACTTATAAAGAATATAAAGAAGGAGTGCAGAATGCTAATATATTTTTTAAATAATGCACAAAAGATACATCAAATTAATAAAGAAAACATTACACACACTCATAGACCTATATAGTAGGGACACGACATATTGTTCTATACGTACAATTGCTTATATAAATAGCACCCATTTTGAAGGCACATACATAAACATATATCTATCTCGTTCTTACTCAGCACTTTAACTCGCAGGAAAACAATATAACAGTATTTCAGTGCGTACATAAAATGAAACATGAATATACGTAAATATCTCCGTCTCCGTCTAATGAGGCCGAAAATCCGCCATGTTTAGCGCGCCAAATGTCATTGTCACGTCAGTTCGGCCGTCTGTTTTGGGTTGTACATTATTTATTGACTTTGATATCGATTTAATATGATTGATTATATAAAATTTCATAATTTATCATGCTTAAAACATACAAAAATAATAATTAAAACGTATTTTATAGGATCTCAAGAAAGTCGATGCCCTAAAACTATTATCTATATGTATTTAAATTCATTATGGAGCCCTCATCCGAAAAATCCATTTTTCGGTCGGAATCTATTGATCATGACACTAATCATAAATACCACTTTAAAATATGTCATCAAAACATATTTAGACATTCTGTTTAGATATTTCGGGAAAAAGGCTACCGACAAAATCTCTTCGGAACTATTTAAATAAAATAGTTTTATTCCGCAGTGAGTAAAACACTATTGTAAATTTGTTAAATATTTAATAATTAAGTGATTTTAGAGAGGAAGTCACAAGGAATGACGTTTGTAATTAATGAATAAATGTTCTGTAGGTGTTTTTTTTTTCACGCGGTCCCTTGATAAGTTTAAAATTTGAATCACTCTCAAGCGAAAGTGATTCAAATGGTGCGGCGCACCTTCCTTGGGGTGCGCTGCGGTAGTATGTTACGGACTTTAGAGTCAGCAAAACAATTAAAATAGATTGTAATAGTCTAAGAAAAACACGTACTCAAAATACGATAACATTTAGCATGCTAGAAATGGGCTGATGGCTTTGAACTACGCCATATCTTTATGTTTTGCGACAAACGACAACTTTATAAAATCAGTGTAGCAACTTTTAAAAATCATCATATCGTTTACTTGGCAAATTCGAAGGACGAACTTGTCTTAGATTTCACCCATCTAAATCATATCATATTTGCACATAACAATATACCTACTTACTTCCCATTAAAGTATAAATTCTACAAATAAATAATACTCAACAATATTTAAAATAAAATGAGCCAAGAACGTTTATCGATAAAACCTGATAACATTGAAATCTTTTGTACAGCACTAAAGCCGCCATGTTTTGTGGCCAGATGACGTCACAGTGGCACGAAATTTTGGTTGACGTTTCATTTCCATAGGTTTCCTACTTCATTGCACACACTACATACCATGTATTTGACGCACACACGCGTGCATACTATTTATTGTCAAACTTTTGTTCTTGACGTCTGTTGTCAAATTGAGAATAGATTAAATATTGTTTGTCTTTGTTAATATTTTTTATAGTGTAGTCTTGGCGAAATTTGTGATTATAGAAGTATAAAAATTTTTTTATTTTTTTTTTATTGCTTAGATGGATGGACGAGCTCACAGCCCACCTGATGTTAAGTGGTTACTGGAGCCCATAGACATCTACAACGTAAATGCGCCACCCACCTCGAGATATAAGTTCTAAGGTCTCAGTATAGTTACGACGGCTACCCCACCCTTCGAACCGAAACGCATTACTGCTTCACGGCGGAAATAGGCGGGGNCATGCATACTTTTTTTTTTTTTAATGCCAAACTTTTGTTCTTGGCGTCTGTTGTCAAATTGAGATTAAATATTGTTTGTCTTTGTTAATATTTTTTATAGTGTAGTCTTGGCGAAATTTGTGATTATAGAAACATAAAATACAATCATAATAGTGTACACACTTACAATTCCAATTAATTATAGTCGAATTTCGACTACTGCGGGACCTCTAGTAGGTATAAATAAATAGTGTAATTTTCACGGCGGATATCAACAGCAGTCGCGAAGCGTGACAACCGTGAAACGAACAGAAACCAGAAACACGGATTAGTGCCGCTACTGAGGTCACTTCACGGCACATTTATCTTAGGTTACAGCATCTATGATCTTCTTTGTTTATTTTACGGGCTCGCTACCCGACCCCGTCCGACAAGCGATTTTACCGGATATATACTATGTAGGTATATTTGTCGACATTCAAATTTCAAGAATAACAAAAGAAGTTGAATATTGTACTTGTCTCAGTATTGACAGTAGAACGGTTGCCCTACCCTTCAAGCTGAAATGTATTACTGTTTCACGGTGGAAATAGGCAGGGTGGTGGTACCTATCCGTGCGGACTCAAGATGTCCTACCATCAGTAATTACGCAAATTATAATTATTCGATTTTTATTACACGATGTTATTCCTTCACCGTGGAAGTCAATTGTTAACATTTGCTAAGTACGTATTTCATTAGAAAAATTGGTACACGCCTGCGGGATTCGAACACCGGTGCATCGCTTTATACGAATGCACCGGGCGTCTTATCCTTTAGGCCACGACGACTCTATAATACTAGGTACTACTAGACAAGCTATTAAAATCGTACTAACGTGAAACTGCTCATGTATGTTTTAGTTTCCATATTATTATGGCTTATTATTATTATGGCGCGGTATATCCAATTGAATTGAAACTTTTTACATTTGCTGTTGTTATTACTGTAACTTCGAAAGGCGTGTAGCTTCTAAAATTGTGTTTTCTTAAATTTCAAGTCGAATTAAAACATTCGTAGCTTAGATCATTAACGATTTCAAATTCTCTGTTCGCCCCAGTCACAGTCTAGACGTATATTTTAAAAGAACCACGGCGATTAAAACGACTATGAACTCGTAAAGGGAATAAAGAGCCAGTCGAAGGCCGCCGGGACATCGTCCTTTCAACCCAGACGACTCGAAGGTCACAATAGATCGAAACATCTTTCAGCCCTTTTTTAATGAACTTGCTCCTTTTTTCTTGCTATCTCATTTATGTGGGCGAATTCACGGTCCTCATGGTGTTTACAGGACTAAGGACATCACGCTGACACTAACCTTGAGGCATGAGGTCGAAGTCTCATATTTATTGTTAAATTAGTAAAATTAAAATTTTAAAAATTTATAACCTTTACGGCGGTGCATCCATGTTACACCACGGTTTCGGTACTATCTATTGCAAATTTAACTATTCTTTCTTGTTTTTGTCTTGGTATCACTTGGCCTTAAACGAGGATTCGCTATACTACAAGAGCGAGAGACGATACACGAACGTTTGGCCGTAGAGGGAAACGAACCCATGACTTACTGTATAGCACTCAGGGACCCTAACTGCTGCGCCACCGAGGCAGTCAAAATTCCTTTTTGCATAAGCAGTTGGACCAATCAATATTGGTGGTTGAAATTTTGATCATGTCTCGTTGTGGGTGGCTGGTAGTGGAGCTTGGCTCATACATACATACATAGTAACATTATAGACAACGAGAAACATATCGCCATGTCACGAAAGCATACGCAATTTGTTAATGTATCACTCCATTGTCGCCAGATCACAATGAACGGACACAGCAACGGCGACATCAACAGCGCTGGAGACATCCTCACCCAGAACCAGCAGAAAGGATGGTGGACCATCGGTCTGATAAACTCTCGGTACCGCTACCTTACCGCCGAGACCTTCGGCTTCAAGATCAACGCTAACGGCACCAGTCTAAAGAAGAAACAGATTTGGACCCTCGAGCCTGCTTCCGGGAATGCCAATGATAGTGAGTTAATTTTTATGCTTTACTGTACAACACCTAAGTGTTTTGGACTTTTAGCCTAACACAATATCTTCAAGTCAAAAATAGACTCAAAGTAATGATTCAATTCGTGCAATAGAGCTTTTGGTGAAAAGACAAAATCCGTTTCCATCATCTGCTTTTACCACGACTTGTCACTAAAGTTAGAATGCAGACCCACAACTGTGTCTGGTGGTCGTTCTTGTTACGCGTATCTTCTCAGCTAATAAAATAAATCTGGCAGAAAGATTACAAGAAACCTTACAAATTTCATTTCAAGATTCGAACAATTTCGCAGGTATTTCAAAACGACCAATTGAAAATTATAAAGTACCTACATGCTTTAATAAATAAATCATAAAGGGAACTAACCATTTTCTTCCTGATAACGATTTTTCTAGTCAGAATATTAGATCGAAGCAATAAACTGATGCAACAAGCAACAAAATGATTGTATTGCCATCATTCCTTGATACGTGTGCAGATTTTCAAATCAATTAGTCCAATTGAATTTAGTAAAAATTACTAAGATTCCCTTGGATATATTCAGGCCTAGCTAGTAAAATCATGGATGTACTATGCCAGGGTAAATAGGCGAAAACAAATTTTAGAGGCTTTTCTAATTTGATAATGGAGAAAGTAATGAGGAGGACCATCAACTAGAAACACCGAGGCAACCTACAGGACATCAAAATCTATCTACAAATGTGGATAACAAGCCCAGAAATTTTACGAAATTGCATGACGATAAACCGTTTTTAGTCGCATTCCCCTTTCAAATACAAATTGTTGTAGAAACACACCCTCGTGTGTCGAGAGCCCTTAATTAAGTTCGCAGAGTTTGGCCACAAAGTCATCTTTCAGCAATATAGAGGGTATTTTTGCAGTAATTTATTTGTACATGTGCTTCAAATTGTGGTCAAAGTGTTTCTGAAAGCTTAGCTTATCATACCTTATAATAAAAAAACATACATAAATATAATAAAAGTATAAAATATGTATCTGTAAAATATAATACCATAATTGGTATAATTTTAAAATGACTATTTGAATGGAATTACAATAGACGCTGCATAAGAGTCTCAAACAATATGCCCTTCGGGTTTTCTTGTTTTTTTTTTCTATTTGTCTTACACTGAAGATCACTTTTTGGTTAATTANAGGGTATTTTTGCAGTAATTTATTTGTACATGTGCTTCAAATTGTGGTCAAAGTGTTTCTGAAAGCTTAGCTTATCATACCTTATAATAAAAAACATACATAAATATAATAAAAGTATAAAATATGTATCTGTAAAATATAATACCATAATTGGTATAATTTTAAAATGACTATTTGAATGGAATTACAATAGACGCTGCATAAGAGTCCCAAACAATATGCCCTTCGGGTTTTCTTGTTTTTTTTTCTATTTGTCTTACACTGAAGATCACTTTTTGGTTAATTATATTTAAGGCGAATTGGACCTTAGAAATAACTGACACATTGATTACCCTAAGAAGGCAAGCATTAAAAATGACATTAATAACAGCCAACTGTCATGCAGTTGGCTGTTCATAGACGCCTCACTGTAAATTCAACTTTACAACTAACAAAACTGGAAACATATTTTATTGCATCTACATAATTAGAATCGCGTGTTTCTGAAATAGTAAATCATTTTGTTTCGCTTATTTCGGGGCCACACTGTCAAGTGTCTTTAAAAGCCATTAATTTTCGGATCCCCTCAGTTGCGAGCGAGGGTCACGCAGAGTCGCGCCCCTCATGGCCAAGGTCTTCATGTCAACATTACCTCGTTATTTTATTTTTTTAAACAGGTGTACTAATTTTTTTTTATTGCTTATATGGTTGGACGAGCTGGCCCACCTGGCTGGCTGGTGTGAAATGGTTACCGAAGGCCATAGACATCTACAACGTAAATGCCGCCACCCACCTTGAGATATGCGTTCTAAGGTCTCAGTATAGTTACAACGGCTGCCCCACCCTTCAAAACCGAAACACATTACTGTTTCACGGCAGAAATAGGCAGTAAATTAGTATTACCAGTAATTCAGTATTACCGTTATAACACTTCCTACTATTATTCTATGGTTAATCAGTTTTTCGTAAAGGGCAAATATCACGAAATAGATGTAATATATGGCATTAGGTGTGTTTACTAGTACTGACACTGCTTGCAAAGAATAGTTAATAACACCTGCGACGGATGCGTTTAACCCGCGTCCCGCGTCCGGTGTAAGCCAACCAAAACAAGCAATAACTTTATATTTTCCTCGACAGGCATGATCTACTTGAGGTCACACTTGGACAAGTACCTAGCAGTCGACAGCTTCGGTAACGTGACTTGCGAATCAGAGGAAAAGGAACCCGGCAGCAAGTTCCACATCAGGTATTGCCTGTTTTGTATTTATAACATTGTAAACGTTTCTCATACAACTACTACCATCTAGGATCCACTTCGTTGTTATATGCACATACATGTAAAAATTAATATGTATGTACACACATACATTCATACGTATAATAAAGAAAAATTAGGTCTCCTTGGGAGGCGCTCGGGTATCTGTTAGCAAATCTCACCCCTCCTGGCTGAGCCCTTGCTTGCGCACATGTCCTTGTGAAACTGGAAAGGTCTCCAGGCCACCAATAATCCCTCAGTTGAGAAAAAGCACATTCGATTCCCGAACACCAAATATCAATCACAATGACTATTACTCCTGGTAGGAATTGCGATACTTTAAGATATTAAATAAAACTCCCACATTGTATTGTGCTTGGTAGCTGTGTGGCACATTACGAGCCGCATTTGAGACGCTTTGCAAAATGCCTATGTCCCTGATTGAGTTACGCTCACTGAGGCCGATAGATATCCTCTCTTCGACGACATTAAGAACAATATTACCCACTCCACCATTCATCTCCATCTTATTATTTGCCGTTACTTATAGTTGTAACTGTAGGAAAAATAATGGTCCTTAAAACCCAAAAGGCATTGTTATTAAAAATCTTTATTAAAGATCCTGTCAATGACGGGAAGTAACAAAAATAATGTTCTCTCGCGAGCATGCGTCACAGAATACTAATCCATTGCAGGAGCTGGTCTGACTCATCGGATGTGTAAGGCTTTAGCCGTACATTATTACAGTACATAACAGCGATTTAATCAAAATATTATAACAAATTGTTAAAGGCAGAGCGTGTTGTGAACCCGCACAAATAAGGTCCAAAGATGGGGCAGCCATGATGCGATTGTACAGACTTTCACTGTATATCTCAAAGTAAATAGTGCTATCCAGGTTCTGATCTCTGGAAGACTAAACCAAAGTGAATGCCATGTCTGTGAAAGATAAAACAAAAAAATCGGATGTCATTACACACTTGCTCATATTTATCCACTATTGGCAAAGTGTAAATGTAAGGCCTTACTTACTTAAAAAAAAACTGCGAACTAATGACGGATGTCATAAATTTGAATATGCCTAATACGTATTACTATTCATTCGCTACCAAAACTCGAATGAATTTTTATTTACGACACTTTAATATAATCGTGTACAACTTTCGTAATCATAATATACTTCCTTTTTCCTTTGGCGTAAATACATTTGGTGGGAACATAATATGCCGTCCGTGCCGAAAATGGGCTGCTTTTTATTCCGAAATTGTATTGTAGGCGACTTGAAGGTGGTCGCGACGATTGTCCGGCGTCCTTCCAGGATTTAAAATTAATATTCGTTTCGCGCTAAACGCTTTACCCTGTCCCCATCTCCCTTGGTTGAGTTACGGCCTCGTGCTCCGGCTCTTATCAATCTCGCGAGGGAGACAGAGATTATAATAGGTTTGATTCCAACATATCACAACTACAACTCTCAACTTATACACCGAAGTATTCCACCTGACCCAGAGAAACCGTTGAAGTGTGCGTTTCATACCTCTAATAAAGGCGACCGACTCATATCGTCAGTACAATAACATTTATTCAAAATTATTGAATCGAGATCATTAAACTCTTCATAAACATACCTATCTATTGTTTTCATGTGTGTATTCATAACAGGAAAGTTGATAAACAAACTGACGCACACATTTCTTCCCAAACAATGCGTGAGTCAGTGAGGAATTTTGAGATAAACACTTATTTTGGTTATGGCGCATATTATGTATATCTATTCGATTTCGGATCACTAATAGAGTTAATTATTCATGAATATTTTGATACGAATAAGTGAGTAGCTTCTATATTTTCTACAGGATCACTACTCATTAGAATCTTCAGTATTAGTTATTGTTGTAGGGCCAATAAATATTGTACCAAGGTTCATCACAATCGCAAGGTATGGTTTTGCAACGCATACGGTACGGATGTGCAAATAGAAATTTTTTAAGCAGTTATATTCCGTCACGAAAATTTTTTGAATACTACAGTTAGGTCCCCGTTTATTTGCTATATGATTATGAAGTTTTCGGTAAAAATGACAAAAAGCGTGCACCAAGTCTCGAACCTGTGACCATTTTATATTATAGAGATCCGCATAATATCGCGTATTTTGTACAAACAAAAGGCCAACATCAAGAGGGAAACAAGCCTGTTACCTTAAAAACTCGACGGTGAGCGAATCCAATTTAAAATTCCCTAAAACGTTTTTGCGAGGCTTCAGTTATTGATCTGTTCAGAACCACGAAGGGGAACTGGAGAGGGTGGACCTAATCGAAATCATGGCAATGTTAAATGCGTCTTTACCACAAGGCAATACAGTTGTATTTCCACTGTGGTCCACTATTGCAGATACAAGTTTCGGCTGAATTTAAATATTTGGAGCTGCCCGTATATATTAGTAGGGCCTGAAATAATACGAGTATTTATCTAGAAGGCTTAAGGTTAGCCATAGGGTCGTATTCGTAAATTAAAGTTATTACTGAATCATGGCAGAAATAGAGGATGATGATACCTATCCGTGCTGATTCACAAAATGCCCTACCACCATCAATTAAAGGCGTTTTTCTATAATTTGGAAATTAAGAATAAAATCCCAACATAATGACTAAGTTTCGGATCATCTCATCACAACGCCTAGAGCTCATCACTCATCTATCAATCTTATTCTGTACTGTGTGCTTTGTGCGAGCTTTTTAACATTCTCGATAGCGTAAAAGTTCGCCTGCGTTTGCCGTTAGGGGCGCTGCTCCAACTGCATACAAATTTGAGTAAACTTTCACGCTATCGAGATCGTTAAAGAACTCGCACTAAACACACTAAACAAAAAACGCCTCATAACGTAACGAAAACAACAACGAAATCACAATAGAAATTGCGTTACCTCATTTCTTAAATACCATCTCACGTCGACCTCAAATCGAGTAAATGCCAACAAACTTTCGTGCCATTTACCGAGAGCTCAGAGCTCAATAAACGTAAACTTTATTACCACAAAAGCTATATTCTACGTATTGCGAATGATTTACTTTTGGCAAAATTCGCTATTATGAAGACTAGACTAGAACTAGACTAGACTCAGCCAACTGAGTTTCTCGCCGGATCTTCTCAGTGGGTCGCGTTTCCGATCCGTTGGTAGATTCTGCGAAACACTGCTCTTGCTAGGGTCAGTGTTAGCAACACTCCGGTTTGAGCCCCGTGAGCTCACCTAAACACGTTAGGGCGAAGCTGAAATAGCCTCTCAACATATTTTAAATAAATTTTGTTAAATATCGGGGAGACCTTACCTGTCGTAACATGTATTGTGAGCTCACGAGGGTCGATATCACCGCCTTGCCTATTCTTCCCGTTAAGCAATCATGAGGTTCGGTCTTATATGTACCTGTAGCCTTCTCTGTGAAAACGACCTCGTGTATCAATACGTGCGACTGTATTGTTGTATCTGTATAATGATATAAAAAAAATATATATTTGTACTCATTATCAAGATGCAGACATTTCATAGGCCATCAATTTTGTTTTTATACAGTTAATTCTGAAAGCAAATTTCTCTTTTTCTGTGATAGACACTTCTTTTGTTGTTTGACTATAATAAAGAATGCTTAACGTAATTTTGCACAGCTTGTAATTTCGCATTCATATCGTTAGAAAGCGGAATACAAACAAACTTTCACAGATTATAATATTGTGACGATTGTTATGATCTGCACCAATAAGATAATCCTATTGGCTCGTTACAAGCCGGTTTCTTGTTTAAATACTAACATAGCAATATAACTGTAGTTATGATTTGCAGTTAATTTGACTAGACTTAAAACATGATTTGTGCGTGTGTGTGCGTGCATGTATGAGTGTCATGATATGACTAAAGAAATCTAAATCTATATATTAATACGTGAAGCAAAAACTTTGTATCCCTTTTTACGAAAATTGCGCGGACGGAGGAGTATGAAATTTTCCACACTTATAGAGAATATAGAGAAGAATTGCACAATGCTAATATTTTTTTAAAATAATGCATAAAAGATACATTAAATAAATAAAGAAAACATTACACACACTACATACCATGTATTTGACGCACACACGGATGCATACTATTTATTGTCAAACTTTTGTTCTTGACGTCTGTTGTCAAATTGAAAATAGATTAAATATTGTTTGTCTTTGTTAATATTTTTTATAGTATAGTCTTGGCGAAATTTGTGATTAAAGAAGTTTAAAATACAATCATAATAGTGTACAAACTTACAATTCCAATTAAATATAGTCGAATTTCGACTACTGCGGGACCTCTAGTCTAAATAAACGTGACATTTTTTTTTTATTTCATAACATTTGTTGATTCGTTACTCACGTAGGGGGATACTGGGTTATTGTAAATTAATATTTTGTCAGGTATCGGAGCGGTGACCTAATAACAGTTTAAATCTATATATACAAAAATGAATTGCTGTTCGTTAGTCTCGCTAAAACTCGAGAACGGCTGGACCGATTTGGATAATTTTGGTCTTGAATTATTTGTGGAAGTCCAGAGTAGGTTTAAAAGGTAAATAAATATGAAAATGGTCAGAATTAAATAAAATTAACAATTTTGTTTCTCCTTTGATGTCCCCCGTCGGACGGATTCCTTTTGTTTGTGTTAAGTTTATTTTATACGAAAACTTAGGTTTTTTATTTATCGATTAAGACACTGCGAAGTCTGCCGGGTCAGCTAGTTATATTTAAATTTAAAAATTATCAGCTTTATTATGCCCAATATTTTCTAACGCGTCAAAGTGTAGAACATTTTATTTACTGGTTTTATTTTATACCAGCTTTAGCCCGCGACTCCGTCCGCGTGGAATAGCTACTTTGGCATAACGCTAAATTTTACCTCCACTTCATTTACGTAGAAAATGAAAATATTTTTGAATTATAAAATGTTAAGGAGCTATTTAAACACGTATTTTGAAACATTCTTTATTGGTGCTCCACTTGTATTGGTGTGAGAGTGATGTTATATATCCTATAGTCTTCCTCAATAAATGGACTATCTAACACTAAAATAATTTTTCAAATCGGACCAGTAGTTCCTGAGATTAGCGCGTTCAAACAAATAAACTCTTCAGCTTTATAATATTAGTATAGACTAGCTGTACCCGTCCGCTTCGCTGGGCATTTAAAATTAACATTATTATTTCTCACCCCCACAAAAATTTTCATCATTAACGCCCCCGCAACTGGTGTAGGGAATCCAACACTCATATAAATATTAGCCTATCCATTAAGTACATGTATTTTCTACATGGATACCAAGTTTCAAGTCAATCGGATGCATGGTTCAGTAGTTATAACGGAACATCCGTAAAAACCACTGTAGATTTATATATTAGTATAGATAGTATAGATTTTACTTCTTCCACGTCACGAAACCGTCCGTGTTTGTCTAACACACGTAATTGTTATTGTCGTAGTGTCTCCGACGACAACAGCGGCCGCTGGGCGCTGCGTAACGTCGAGCGCGGCTACTTCCTGGGCTCCAGTTCAGACAAGCTGACCTGCACCGCCAAGGTGCCCGGAGACGCTGAACTTTGGCACGTCCATCTAGCCGCCAGACCTCAGGTAAGGATTAAACTGTGCAGTGTCAATGTGATTAGAATTTTTACGGAAATTCGACTTGTATTTTAGAAGGAATGCGTAATTATGATAATAAAATACAAATTATTGAACCATAAACGGATGAAGGTCCTACTGGTGGTAGGACCTCTTGTGAGTCCGCAAGGGTAGGTACCACCACCCCGCCTATTGCCTAGATGGGTGGACGAGTTCACAGCCCACCTGGTGTTAAGTGGTTACTAGAGCCCATAGACATCTACAACGTAAATGCGCCACCCACCTTGAGATATAAGTTCTAAAGTCTCAAGTATAGTTACAGCGACTGCCCCACCCTCCAAACCGAAACGCATTAATTCTTCACGGCAGAAATAGCCATGGTGGTGGTACCTACCCGTGCGGACTCACAAGTGGTCCTACCACCAGTAAAAAAAGTATTTGTGTACATAGACAAGCATAATGCATAAATATGTATGTATATGTAAACAGTAGGTACATGGCAAGTCTTCGCTATCAGCTGTCACTCCGATTGATATAAATATCCTTTTATATAAGGTCGTTGAACATTTATCGTTTATTCAATATTATTTAATGTTTAGTTCACGAGAATTGTTAATAAAACTTCTAAAATGTTCACGTTTGTTTGTCATCTACAGGGTGTTAGCCAAAATATAATATTGTTCTATATTAAATGTTTGAGATATGTACTTGTTGATTTAGTACGTGAATAAAGAATCTACTTAGTCTGGCCATAAATACTGCTACAATTAAAAAAAAAAAAAATCTATAGCAAAATAACATTTATTACTTTTACAGTGTGTTAGTTTAATACATAAATATAAAACAATTTAAAGTATAAAAGGGTTATTCGAAGTGGTCTCCATTGGCTGCAATACAGTACTTTAAACGTTGAGGCCAGTTATCAATAGAAGCACGCACTCTTTCCATGGGAAAATTTTTCACTGCCAATCGTACGGATTGTTTTAGGGACTCCAAATTATCATGGCGTTTAGAGCAAGCCGTACTCTCTAAAACTGACCATAAATCATAATCCAGCGGATTAAGATCATCAAAATGAGAAAACTCAATGAGCAATCATATAAAAATGACAGATTCCAAATTCAAATGTAATATTTTGTTTATTTTTAATTGTAACAGTATTTATGGCCAGACTAAGTATAGTGTATAACGTGGTGATAACGTGTGAGAGTGTTTAAGTGTGACAGGAGAAAAGTCATCGTTTTTTCATGCAATTTCATTGTAGGGCGACAGCTTTCTCTCTTGTCAATAGTTCGAAGGCTGTATCTCCTCTAACTACGGAAGGCCCTGCGACTTCTTCTTCTCTGCTTCAAAAAAACACTTTCCAGAACCATATCATTACTTTCGTTGAGTTGACACAATTCTCAAACGTTTCCACCGCGTAGTGATGCATATTTTAGAGATAATCACAATCGATGAATGTTTTTTATCTCTAAAATGATATGTCATTCAAATTCCGTTACTGTGGGACAGTCACCGCGAGATGCGGTCGGATGTTCTCACATTTCTAAAGACAATTGCTTTTATCATCAGAAATTTTGTTTGTATTGTTTTAGTTTCAGTATGTTAGTAATGATTCCCGGTTGGTGTCACGATCTTCTCGGATTCCGACAAGAATAATCTTTTCGGAAACTTAATATATAAAGAGTTAAATTGAGCTAAGAATTCTTAGGTCGAATCTTCGATCTCATGCCGAACAACCGAGATCGAATCTTAATTGGGTTTTATAACTGCTAAACTTACCTCCGGCTCTAATAACTGTGAATTATTTTTTTTCAAATTCATGTAATTGTTGTTACTCCTAATGAATACTAGTCTTCGACAACAATAGTGATACAATGAAACCGTCATCACGGGCTAGTGTGCTTAGTGCAAGTTTTTTAACGTTCTCGATAGCGTAAAAGTTAACTCAAATTTGTATGGAGTTGGAACAGCGCCCCTAGCGGCAAACGTAGGCAAACGTTAAAAAACTGGCACTAAGCACACAGACCACCACGAAACTCACTTGCAGCATTACGTTGCAGTTCCTACACTCTCATTACGGTAAAGTGATGGTTTAGCGAACGTGAGTGTGCCGATGCACGGTGATGAGACAGACTCTTTCGTCTCTAATGACGCGCTTGGCAGTTAGTTACACGAGTATGTTACTGCTAGCCGCGTCATCTTAACAACGGATTTTATTGATTTCAATATATGTCTTGAGATGTGAACTCAAAATGTTATCCAGTAAAAAAAAAGTTATTAGTTTGAAAGATGGAATGTTATACAGCACGGTTGAGGCTTCGACCTCATGCTATGATGTCAATGGGCTCCGGTAGCAACTTAATCGCGCGGTCTTAGAAGACGCCCCACCATGACTACTTTGGCAAGTTCCTTCTAAAATGTCCTCATCATGGAACGCGTGAGCGTGTCAAATAAGTATTTCCTTAGAAATAATGATACCTAGCTGTGGACTCGAATATCGGCGCATCGCTCGATACGAATAAACTTAAGACATAGCGATTGTAAAGAGAGTCCCTTATTTCCTCAAGTTAGAGCCACGTGAGCTCACCTAATCATTCGATTACGCTGGCATAACTTTCTAAGTTACCAAGTTACGTAGGAAAAAAAAACCTACACGAATCATTCACGAGTCATTGCCTTAGGACCAGCAGGAGAAACCCAGGTCGCGTAAAGACCCCGATAATAATCAATAAGTGAACGTCCGTTAAGTCCACCGCAAATTGTTCGCAGATGAACCTCCGCTCGATCGGCCGCAAGCGCTTCGCTCACCTCTCGGAGTCGCTCGACGAGATCCACGTGGACGCTAACGTGCCCTGGGGCGAGGACACGCTGTTCACGCTGGAGTTCCGCGCTGACGAGGGCGGCAAGTACGCGCTCCACACCTGCAACAACAAGTACTTGAACGCAGGAGGAAAGGTAACTAGCATCAACACTCAAACTTCACTAACCTTTTTTTTATATCCCTTGAAAGCGGACGAGGATACGGCCCACCTCATGGTGAGTGATTACCGTCGCCCATGGACTTCAGCAATGCCAGGGGCGGAGCCAAGCCGCTGCCTACTATTCTTAGTTTCTTATTAGATGATATAGGTTGCCAGTCTACCGTCACTAAGTCGTACCCTCCTATGGTAGTCATGGAATTGACAAACGAATTAGTGGAATGATTACGTGAGGAACATGGCCTTATTACGGAGAAACGACTAGAAGGTGTGAAGCGAAACTTTCATACAACCAGCATCATGCTTTGGGCTTGTTAGATTCATCTTAACGCATCATCAAGTACCGTTCAGTGCTTCAAAGCAATCATTACTGTCCACATTTACCGTTACGTTTTAAATTCTATAAGAGTTCTTTATAAAGATGACTAAAACGCAATTAAACGAAAGGGAGTGTCCATTATTCTAATTGTCTCGTAATGTGGGTAGTATGAAGTAACCGATTACGGGTAAGCACTTGTCACACTCGGCTGAGTATGTCGTATGTGCAATCAAATGATACACGGTCATCATATTATAGGGACTTTCCTTTTCATTGTCTGTGTATAATCATGCCTGTTTTACTGACCTAGACGGACAGGTAAATCCATGATCGACACACATATTGTGTGAAACATTTTGTCAATATTATGAATGGTAGAGACTTGCACCTCAGAAGAGTGACACAGTACAAATCACATGGGGCTGGAGTGAAACACATGATAGTGTAAGCCCTTGAAGCTAATATACAAAGTTTCCTGAAAGTCGTCGCGCCATCACCGAAGCTGCAATTTGATGAAGCTTATTATATATTGTTATAACACTGATGTATTAAAAGTGGCAGGTGCTAATCATATTTTGTTGTTGATGGGCTCATTTTAGTTGTCGTCGTGGCCTAAAGGATAAGAAGTCCGGTGCATTCGTATCTAGCGATGCACCGGTGTTCGAATCCCGCAGGCGGGTACCAATTTTCTAACAAAATACGTACTTCGCAAGTGTTCACGATTGACCTCCACGGTGAAGGAATAACATCATGTAATAAAAATCAACCCGCAAAATTATAATTTGTGTAATTACTGGTGGTAGTACCTCTTGTGAGTCCGCGCGGGTAGGTACCACTACCCTGCCTATTTCTGCCGTGAAGCAGTAATGCTTTTCAGTTTGAAGGGTGAGGGCAGCCGTTGTAACTATACTTGAGACCTTAAAACTTATATCTCAAGGTGGGAGGCGCATTTACGTTGTAGATGTCTATGGGCTCCAGTAACTACGAGCGCTATGACATCTCCTTCTTCAAACGAGGCTTGTGGAGAGTATTAAACGGTAGGCAGCGGCTTGGCTATGCCCCTGGCATTGCTGACGTCCTCCATGAGCGACGGTAACCACTCACCATCAGGTGGGCCGTATGCTCGTCTGCCTATACGGCAAAAAATAAAAATAAAAACACTAGGTGGGCTGTGAGCTCGTCCACCCATCTAAGCAATAAAAAAAATTAAAAAACTTTCCTGCAGCTCCAAGACACGTGCACCAGCGAGTGCCTGTTCAGCGCGGAGTACCACGCGGGCGCGCTGGCGCTGCGGGACGGCTCGGGCGCCTACCTCGCGCCCATCGGCTCCAAGGCGGTCCTCAAGACGCGCTCCACCGCCGTCACCAGGGACGAACTCTTCTCATTGGAAGACAGCCTCCCTCAAGCTGCCTTCGTGGCGGCTCTCAACGACAAATACGTTTCCGTAAAACAAGGTAACTTTAATGAAATTGAACCACTATTGAATTGAAAATATTTAAATTGAATTTAGTTTTTTTTCCTGTGTTTAGCTGGACGATACAGAATACGTAGGTAGTAAAGTAGGAACTGATATATACAGGGAGTAACCTTTCTCAAAGCTTAATAATATAATGCTGCAAATACGTACTGCGAAATACGCAATGTAAAACGAACACAGTTCTCTCGGGGCGATCAACCCGTATGTCCGCTGATTTTAAATGGTGTTTCATTGCGTGCATATGGGTGTCCTAAAGAGATTATCTACGAGGCAGTAGAATTATGTGGATTATTCGCCTTATGCTGCTACTATTGTTACTGGCTTTCAAAATAGTTTAAACCTTTATCGTACTTTCTGAGTCCTGCCAAAAAACCAGAAACACTTAATTCCTATGTATCGACGTGTTGTCAGTAGTGTCTCCAATGCGTGAGCTCAGCTCCCAGCTCCGTGCTATGGAAAGAGTACTGGCGCGTAGTCTTTGAATATTCATTTATAATCTAGACTAGTCTAGTAAGTGAAGCTGAATCCGACGTGAACACGTCTCGATCTCGGCCTGATGCGAAGTCACGTTCCGTACTCAGATTACTCGACAGTAAAGCCGCGACAGGGTCACGAGCGGAGCGGGTAACGAGCAGTTTGCAAATAGCAGACTGTCTCTAAGTTGATCGACCTCCAAAGAATTTTTATTTGTCACTAGCTGACCCGGCAGACTTCGTAGTGCCTCAATCGAGAAATAAAATACCTAAACTTTTGTATAAAATAAACATAAAACAAACAAAAGGTATCCGTCCGCCGGTAGACACATCAAAGGAAAAACAAAATGTTATTTTTATTTAATTCCGAGCATTTTCCTATTTATCTACCGTTTAAACCTTCTCTGGACTTCCACAAATAATTCAAAACCAAAATTAGCCAAAGCGGTCCAACCGTTCTCGAGTTTTAGCGAGACTAACGAACAGCAATTCATTTTTATATATAGAGATTACTGCTGGTTTTGAGTGACACTTTGAAACAAGTAGCTGCACAATCACGACAGGATTTGATGTTCATCATTGAGATTACGACCTTCTATCTCAAGGTACCTGAGCATTCACGTCGTGCTGTCAAGGGATAACGGTATAAACTTAACACCATTAGGTCCATCTGCCTGTCTGTGGGAGTAATATGAGAAGGTCATACGTAATGTAGTAAATTTCATTGTAAAAATCACCCGACGTTTTCGAGGATTTTCCATCACAATGCAATACAAATTCGCCATCTTTTATCTACTTAGTTTGATATCTTAGATCACATCACAGATCCGCCATCACAGATACCGCGATAGTCACGATTTCTTGTTTTCATGCACGTTTCATTAAAACGGAGAAATTTCCACTCAAACATGACTCTAATAATGTGCTGTGAGGCCGCACGTTTCCAATGGCCGAGTATTTAAATAAATTACTTTGACAAATCACTATAGATATTAGGCCGATGGCTAGGATTGAAAATGGAAGATGTTCGCCCAAAGCACGTCATTACAGATCCTCCTGATCCATTAACAGTGCTTTTAGGTACTACAAGCACCGGTCACCGTCCTCGTCGAACCCGTCGCTTGCGATGAAGAGCTCGACGAGCGAATTAACCCACAGACACGGCCCACTGAGTTTCTCGCCGGATCTTCTCAGTGGGTCGCGTTTCCGATCCGGTGGTAGATTCTGCGAAGCACTGCTCTTGCTAGGGCCAGTGTTAGCAACACTCCGGTTTGAGCCCCGTGAGCTCACCTACACGTTAGGGCGAAGCTGATATAGCCTCTCAAGGCTATCAGCATAGGTAGGGGAAAAAAAGATGTTTTTACGAGTGATAAGGCCTATCGATAGCCGCACGGGAGGTATTACTGTTGTGCCTTCATTTGCCGCCAAGCAAACGTACTCATGAATGGCATACTTCAATCTCGTGCTCCATGAAACGGGTGGCGGTCACGTTCATGGTAGTGATAAAGACATGTTCATATTTAAGATATTAAAAAGGAGTTTCTCCGCTCCTTTTCAGATTCCATTATAAAAATTTAAAAACGAATCTAAATAAATTACTGGTGGTAAGGCCTTTTGTGAGTCCGCACGGGTAGGTACCACCACCCCGCCTATTTCTGCCATGAAGCAGTAATGCGTTTCGGTTTGAAGGGTGGGGCAGCCATTGTAACTATAATTGAGACCTTAGAACTTATATCTCAAGGTGGGTGGCGCATTTACGTTGTAGATGTCTATGGGCTCCAGTAACCACTTAACAACAGGTGGGCTGTAAGCTGTCGTCCACACATCTAAGCAATAAAAAAAAATTTAAGCGGAAGTCGGATTTGTAAATAGTTCTTTTTTTAATCTTTCGGTTTTTTTGCACATTACAAAATCCAACTCGGCAACGTGTTTAAAATTTTCGGTTTTTTTAATAAACAATTAATGTTTTACGGCTTATATAGGTATATACTGAACCAATCTCAGCGGGAGCCTCATTAAGACGGAAAATATTTTTGAAAGAGATTAATTTAGGCTTTATCTTCAGGTCTTTAACGTAAAAATTAAGACGGTATAAATTAGAGTGGGAAAATGAAATCACTTAGCTTGACTAGCTCGAGTTTACGACCGGAGAAGCCCGCGAGTCACCAACTGTGTACTTATAAATGAAGTCACGAGTAATATACCACGCTAATTGAATAAATTAAGTAAAATTCTTCTAAATTTTGCAAAATGAGTTCTTTGCTCTCGATAGTTTAATTAAAACTACTAAATTTGTTTTATAAAATTAATATTTTGTACCGTAAAGTTTCTTTCATGCGTGCTTAACGGTATGGTAAGAGCTTTTAAGTATCGTAGCTTTGCAGACGGTCAGGGCGATCCATTTTGAGCTTAAGCGTTTACAGTCCATAGATAAAGTAAAACTCCTCGTACCTAATTGCTTAGTATCGGTAAGTGTTCGCACGAATTGCCGATGGAACTTTGATTTAATTGCTTGTCCACTGCTAAGAGTGACGTCATCTGCATTGTTTTGTTTTGTGTATGATCAGGTGTCAATAACTGTGAATCTATTATGTATTCGGGAAACTATAAAAAGTTTGGGAAAATTCGAATTCTATTTAAAAAAATGCAATTTTTCATTATGGATAGTAAATAGCTTTTAAATAAGTTGGCTTGTTTAGAAAATAATATAATGGTTAAATGTCTACCAGTGTGATAAACTGAATTAAGAAAGCCCATAGAACTACAAATATAAAATTTGCAATAAATATCTTGTAACCTTGAAGTCGTCGTAGCCTAAAGGATAAGACGTCCGGTGCATTCATGTTGAGCGATGCACCGGTGTTTGAATCCCGCCGGCAGTTACAAATTTTTCCAATGATTCACGATTGACTACCACGGTAAAGGAATACAATCATGCAATAAAAATGAAACCCGCAAAATTATAATTTGCGTCATTACTGCTGGTAGGACGTCTTGTGAGTTCGCTCGGGAAGGTACCACCACCCTGACTATTTCTGCCATGAAGCAGTAATAAGTTTCGGTTTGAAGGGCGGAGCAGCCGTTATACTGAAAGTGAGACCTTAGAACTCATTTCTGAAGACGGGTGGCGGCATTTACGTTGTAGATGTCTATTGGCTCTGGTAACTACTTAACACCAGGTGGGCCGTGAGCTCGTCCACCGATCTAAGCAATAAATAAAAAATCTAATGCTGCGTTATGCATCTGAAAACCCCAACCTAGGTCTTTCCTACATGAGTACCAGATAGGAGCTACACTACACAGATTTTGAATTCTAAAAATATTAAACAAAGTTATGCGATCGGGAATGTATTCGAACTTTCAGTACATTCAGGAGTGTCAACCAACTACACCAAAGCGGTAGGCAGCGGCTTGGCTCTGCCCCTGGCATTGCTGAAGTCCATGGGCGACGGTAACCACTCACCATCAGGTGGGCCGTATGCTCGTCTGCCTACAAGGGCAATAAAAAAAAACCTGCTCTCTGTCTAACTTTGAACTCCAGACTCAATATTGGCGAGTCGATCTAGGTTCCTAGTATACGTTGTAATGATTGTCTTGACATGTAGCGGTAAACGCGCTCGCGCAGGTCGACGACCGATCACATCATAGGGCTGCCACTAGACTTAGTCTCGGAGTTTTTAAAATTTTGATGTTTTTATATCAAACATTTTTTTTTCATTCTGCACTTCTAAAGATCTCACTGGTTTTAAACGAACCACACGAACGTTACCACCCAACTTACTACTACTTTACCGAAATTCATAAATTTTGTAAGCGTTAGATCATTTAGTAATTACACATGCTAAGAACATATGTAATTACTAAGGAAATTTGGTAATTACCTGACGATCGAACTACGATATGGCACTGAACCACGAGTCCAGGCCACCATTACCATAATGTACCGTAATGGCTACAACATTAGGTCGATCCGACTGCTTAGAAGTTTAGACCATCCAGATGTTAACATCAATCCCATTCATGCTAATAAATTCAGGCGGCTATCGAACAGCCACGGTAACTACTTACCACCAGGCAGATCTGACATCAATAGCAACAAAAATAATACGGATAATATTCGCACTGGGCAGCCCTAAGTTCTGCTTCGTTGATCGTCGATACAAATCCTCAATGCACCGCATCATTGTTCACGGAACTGTATCTTAATTATAGTTAGTTATCTGTTCGTTATTTATATTACATTAACTTATTTTCAAGCATCACTTTAATACTTAAGGTTGGCAGTCAATTCTGCATTGCCCCGGGCGTGGGTCCGTCGCCCTCAGCTCTGGACCTACAGTCGACCCTCTGATAAAATGATGCAATGATAGAATTGTTTATTGTTCAACTAACTAGAACTTGTTTAATGATCTAGTGTTACTTTTCGCATATTTTTCTTTTGAAGTGAAACTTCTAATGCGACTTCCAATAAGGTTGCGTTAAATGTTTAACGCTACCCTGGAATAGAAAGAGACAGAGCGAGAGTGAATGCGTGGCACTCGAACGCATGCGCGTAATATACCTGTTGCAGGCCAGCGCGAGCGTTAGCAACGAGTAGCGTCCAATACTTTAATAAAGCATTTAAAAAAGTATATATATTTATTTTTCTATCTATAATTTAAAATATATGAAATATAAATGTTGAAGATGTCGCATCTCTTATACACAGCATTCCCTATTACAAGAGCAATCTGATTTAAGGATGAAAAATTAAGAAAACCACAATACATCGAAAAAGAAGTTTCACTTCATTCACGTGCACCAAGTTGCACGCACGCAAGTGTTCTAAGGCTATGACAAAAGTCAATAAAAAGGGATATTATTTTTGTTACTAGGAGTGGACGTCACAGCGAACCAAGATGAGATATCGTCTCATGAGACCTTCCAATTGGAGTTTGACTGGGCCACGAAGCGCTGGTACATCCGCACCATGCAGGACCGGTACTGGACCCTGGAGACTGGTGGCGGCATCCAAGCCAGCGGTGACAACAAGTGCGTAACACAAACACATAAATAATAATATCACTAAAAAAGTTGAAAACCGATTTCAAAGGTTAAATAAATAAATTAAAATCGCTAACAACAATGTGGTTTTCTAGAGAGAACAAGAAAATATTTTTTAATATTAGGTGAAAACACATTTAAAAAAAACACAGCCGAACTTAGAACTTCATCAGTTTTTATCAGGATCATCATCTTAGGCCTTATAGCCCAGGGTGGCCTTAGCCTGGTCCTGTATGTCTCCAGACTGCTCTGTTCAGGGCTTTCTCCTTCCAGTTCCTGGCACCGATAACTTTAAGATCGTGCTCTACGCCATCCAACCATAGGAATTTGGGCCTGCCACGACTTCTGTGGCTTTCTGGTTTGCCATATAGTCTTGGCATTCCGATCTCCTCCATTCGAACTACGTGTCCTGCCCATCGTAGGCGTCCAAATTTTATAGTTTTTATGATATTAGGATCATCTTTGTAAAAATCATACAATCCGTGGTTATCATCACTTAAGCCGGTTAAAAACCTACAGTCGCTCACACTCACACTCACACTCACCCCCACGCCACCGTTGAAGTCGTTTACTCGTAGAGTCTTTCTCCAATCACCCACAAGACCATTCCTTCACTCACTAAATCACAAAAAAATCAAAATGTTCGTTTCTTAAAATGGGCCTTTTTAAACAGTTCTCATTTCATATTTAAATATATTGTAATGCAGTTTTTCTACTGAGCAGAATCTGCAAGAAACTCATCGCTCTCTCTTATCGTTGTCAATTAACGACTAGCTACACTCGAAAACCTAGAAAATTTACACAACAGTTTAAGCCCGCGTCTATAATAAAGAACACTCATGATCAAATCCCATTGAATGATTCTGGTGTATGTTTGATTGTATGTATGGAAGTATCAATTCCACTCAAAAACAACAAGCGCATAGGGAGCCATGTATTGGATACAGGTACTATATCCTATATCGCAGTTGTGAGCCACACAATAAGCACCGTAACCACCAGCCAACGACATCATATCACTACATAGTATAAAACAAAGTCGCTTTCTCTGTCCCTATATCCCTATGTATGCTTAAATCTTTAAAACTACGCAACGGATTTTGATGCGGTATTTTTTTAATAGATAGAGTGATTGAAGAGGAAGGTTTATATTATTATGTATAATAACATCCATTAAATAGTAGAGAAATCAATAATAAATTACAGTTTCCGAAGCGAAGCGAGGGCGGGTCGCTAGTAAATAGTAATTTGTTTCATTCGGTGTTCCTGTCCACTTTTGTCAGGTCTTCTAACGCTCTGTTCGAGCTGGACTGGCAGGGAGACGGCTCCGTGGCCTTCCGTGCCAACAACGGCAAGTACTTGCTGACCAAGCGCTCCGGCCACCTCTACGCCAACGCGGACTCCATCGACGACAACTGCAAATACTACTTCTATCTCATCAACAGGTACCCGACGCTAGAGCCTCTTGTAGTCAGAACTTGCTAATCAACAGGAAAATTTTAAACACTAGCTGACTCCGTAGTGCCTCAATCGATAAATAAAAGACCTAAACTTTTGTATAAAATAAACTTAAAACAAACAAAAGGAATCCGTCCTACGGGGGACACATAAAGAGAAAAACAAAATTGTTTTCAAAATTATTTTTAATTAATTCCGAGCATTTTCATATTTATCTACCTTTTAAACCTTCTCTGAACTTCCACAAATAATTCAAGACTAAAATTAGCCAAATCGGTCCAGCCGTTCTCGAGTTTTAGTGAGACTAACGAACAGCAATTCATTTTTATATATAGAGATTTTCATGCGTCACATGCCAAATAATGATGTTATTTTCCAGGCCGATCTTAGTGCTGAAGTGCGAACAAGGGTTCGTGGGCCCCAAGGGCGTGAAGCTGGAGTGCAACAAGGCCAACTACGAGACCATCCAGGTGGTGCGCGGGCCCAAGGGAGCCGTCTACTTCAAGGGTACGTCGCGCCTCCAGCTCTCACGTTGTTCTCATTCTGCAAAACTAATAAATTATTTAAATGATTACATACTTTGCGGAAGCTATTACAGTCTCAAGGAACGTCGACCTCCATGACGACCTGGACTTAGAGTCCATCAGTAAGTATCTGCAGTTGGCATCGATGCGCCACTTCGATAAAGCGGCACGACACGAGAACCCTCTCATCGTGGCCGCCGGTAACTACATTCCCGATCCTGCGGACAGAATGGAAAGCAGTCGACGTCGCCCAAAACACGTCATTTCGGATCCTCCCGATCCACTAACGGTGCTTCTAGGTATCTCAAGCACCGGTGACCGTTCTCGTCGAATCTGTCGCTTGCGACGAAGGGCTCGACGAGTAAATTAACCCTCAGACACAGCCCACTGAGTTTCTTGCCGGATCTTCTCAGTGGGTCGCGTTTCCGATCCGGTGGTAGATTCTGCGAAGTACGGCTCTTGCTAGGGTTCGTGTTAGCAACGTCATCAGGTTTGAGCCCCGTGAGCTCACCTACTAGTTAAAGTTACGCTGATATAGCCTCTCAAGGCTCTCAGCATAGGTAGGAAAAAAAAAACAATCTCGTTATTGACATGACAATAGTGCTGACGGTTGACGTTGTCTGCGAGCAGGTCAGAGCGGCAAGTACTGGCACGCGGACGGCGAGGCGGTGACGTGCGACTCGGACGCGGCGCAGGGCTTCCTGCTGGAGCTGCGCGAGCCCACGCGCCTCGCCATCCGCGCCGCCGCCGACCGACGCTACCTCGCCGCCGCCAAGAACGGGAACTTCCGCCTCGCTGATGCAGACCTCGCCTCCGCCACGCACTGGGAGTACTAGGGGGCCGGGGGGGCACGGGGTAAGCGGGGGGCGGGGCGGTCCAACTACGCAACGGATTTTGAGGAAGATTTATATCTACGCTTGAAAGGCAAACGTGACTAAGCGACAATAACTGCTTTGTACATAAATGATAGGCAATAACCATATTCGATGAGCAAAAAATATATATTTCTAGGTCTTAAAATCATTTCAATCCTACAGCTAGATTCGTTAAAATATAATTTTTTTCAGGTATTTCAACTTTAAATTAGTCTACAGTAAAGTTCACGCATTGTCGCTTAGTCACGTTGACCTTTCAAGCGTCGATATGTATAATAACATCCAATAAATAGTGGAGAACACAATAATAAATTACAGTTTCCGAAGCGAAGCGAGACCGGGTCGCTAGTTTTTTATACATCAAAGTGGCGTCTGGAGTCGAAGCCACTAATTCCCCTGTATATTTCGTTGCAATAAACCGGACCGTATCTCACGGCGGTCCGTCCCGACCCCCCAGAAGCGCCTCGGTCGTGACTCAATATCGTATCGGTAGATCTGCCAGTGCATTGCTACATCCCGAATGATAAAGTTTGAATGATTATTGTAATGCTTGGAATTATTTATTATATATTAGTTGTAGTCGAGGGCCGGGAGTCGACACGCGAGCTAGTTAAGTTATCGTAAGCTGTAGGGTAGGCGGCCGCGTCCCCGGGCGCCCGCGCACACGAGAATATACAAGACTTGCTTTTTTGAACAATTTTATATAACGATCGCAGTATACAACTTGTCCGTTCTCTTTCCTTTTACATAACGTTAGACAAGGACAGGACGACGCGGCGTCACGTGCGCTCACTGCCAGTTAACGACACGCGCGAACATTTCGCAGTAAACAAAAGAAATGTTCGTACGCGGCTGATCCTATTATTAACTTGTACGATATCGTCTTTGTAAACTAATGTAACGAATAAATTATAATCAATATTGTAAGTGTTGTTTTATTACTCGCTCCAGTAGCGAGCCCCCGGGCCGCTGCGAGGGCTCCTTGCAAAAATCACTTTAATACAGATTCACGTATCTTGGTATCTTTATCTTGAGGTCTCAAATGTTTCAACGGACCATAGTGTACTAATTGAAAACCCTCTTTGACGTGGCTGTTGAACCTTCTAAAATATCTTGGTACGACGAGATAAGCTGGATAAATTGTTTAACAATGGACATGAACAGTGTTCGTGACTTTAAGAGACATGAGATCTAAGTCTCAGTTTAACAGAACAACGGCTGCCCTACCCTTCAAACCGAAACGCATTACTGCTTCACGGCAGAAATAGACTGGTACCTACCCCTGCGGACTCACAAGAGGTCCTACCTACCTTTCTTTAATCTATTGTATTTTACCAAAGGCGATTAGCTGACATTATAATTACTTACTTTTAGGTATACGTGTGGGCATTGAAACAAAATTGAAAAACTTATACATTTAATATTAAATAGTTACATTAATTCTTTACAGTTTCTTCCTAGCTAGTGACATATTGGATTAGAATCGATGCATTTTATTGGTCAAAATAAAATATTTAAAAATCATTATATTAAAAACCATAATTTATCTATACAACGCTTTCAAAAGCGAAAACGTGTTGCCAGCGATGAAAAACGCGACAATTACACTTAATTATTGCTTTAATTGGTGTTATCGTTAATAAATGCTATTTTTATAAACTGGCAACTGCATAATTTCCTCGCGCTGGCAACACCGCGTACACTGCACACCGACGACGGTTTTTAAAATCACGTGACGTCACAAATTATACATAACATGTATTTGAAATAATTCAATGATTACAATTTGTACGGAATACCGGTTCAACATAATTTATATTTAACAATAATAAGTCTCCAAACACCCAGGTCGCACACGAATCAACCTTATTAGGAGTCGTCGTTATAGAAATACTTATAAAAATTACATCTATCTGGCTTTTACAAGTTCGCCCAAACAAAATACCGTCAAAACGCTTGTCGCGAGTCACGTGACCAATGTAGTTTTGGTCGCAAACAAACACCACATGTGACGTCACAAAGAGGGGGGATCGACCGGCACCCAACAACACAAATATTAAACAGAGTCTTGGGTCGTGTTCAGAGAATGTAGATTTAATTAGTTACTAACAGATTAGGGATGGCTTCAAGGCGTAACAGATTTTTTCGTCGGTTAAATATCCAATTCGATAGAACCCACCAACGTTTTCTTTATTGCCTTTGTAAACAGACGAGCATATGACCCACCTGATGGTGAGTGGTTACCGTCGCCCATGACTACAGCAATGCCAGGGGCAGAGCCAAGCCGCTGACTGCCTTCGGGTGACGTCAAACATGGCGGATATTACATTCACGACAAGAAAATAATAATTTGAATATACAAATATTTACGTCGCGGTAACCCTAGCCCTAATAACGGCATTTTGAATCGAGACGTTCATTAATACAATAATAATTCCGTTGTTATGCTATATAGCGCCCCCGGGCCACGACACACTGCGGAGTTGTCTTATTCGATGTTGCAGTGTTTACAATTTTAGTTACATTACCACCTGCAAATTCTGTCATTACTAAACGTCTGGAGGCTAAAACGCAGCTCTATTGGTAATAAAGTTGCTACATGCTAGTTGTGAGCGCTTGTGAACATCACATTTCAAGTGTAGGCTTACAGAAGCGCTCAGAACATAGTCGCATGTACCTATCGAGTCTGCAATTTTTATAAGACACGATAGTTCGGCGCAGACGAGTCAGGCGCTACGTATTGAAGTCAATACGTTCTGGTTGCACCAATGTAAATTGTCAATAATTGACCCCGCCGTGTACAGGGTGCCGCGGGACAACAGCATAACATTACCTAATTGCTGCTCAACCGGTAATGTACTGCGAAGTCGAGCACTGCGCCTTACATTGCGCGTTTCGCTTTTTCTTTCCTACCCAAGCTGATAACCTTGAGACTACTTGAGAGGCCATGTCAGCGTCACCGGGCGAGTGGATGAGCTCACGGGGCTCGAACTTGACGACGTTGTTAACACGATCCCTACTCGTGTCGCAGTAAGATATCCGACGCACCCTGCACAGCTGGCAGTGCTGCAGTTGACACGTCACGCACGCACACACACACGCACGCACGCACGTACACACACACACGCGTATCTACGTAAGGCACGTTGAACGGTTCCGTTAATGGAACCCGCCAAACCTCCTCCGGCACTAGTCGTATTTCATTATAATACATTAAACATAATACTATTATCTATCTACCGTCGCGCAACATTCAAAACATTCATTTCCGAAAGAAGTCTTATATTATCGCAAAGTTTGTTAGTAAAGTATATTACATTAGTAATTTTGTTCGAAGTTTGTCGTCCGGAGCCTCGAGCGGTGCTGCCCCGGGGCGCATTGTTAGACACAACCCCGCCTCGTCGTTACCTCACTTATCTATGATATTCTTCATATTTTATGTCGACAGTCCTGCTTGGAGCGACCCACAACATTTGTGACGTCACATGTCAGTAAAATCTAATACTTTAATTTAAGTTCCAAAGTAATCACAGTGAGTCGTTTACTATCATATTACGTCACAAGAAATTGAAATCGATTGTTCTGTTTCGCCTCCAGACATCGGGGGCGGGTTGGACATACATGTTTTTAAAAAAATACACTTTTATTTTTCTTTTTTTACTCTTGGAAAAATATCTGCATAATACATTAAAACTAACGACAATTTGTTAAGCTACAGTCGTCCGACCCCCTGGGTCTGAGGGGTTGGGGGGCAGCGCGACCCCCCTCACCTCACACGGTACCTTTACTATGCACGCATTCATTACTCATACCATATAATTATATCAACAAACGGGTTTAATGTGAAGTCAACAACAACAATTACTCAAATTAATGATGACTGCTGATAATTAGTTCAGTAGGAAACCGTGACGTCACAGCGTTGGTCCGGTGCCAGGGGCGCGGGGGGCGGCCCCTCTCCCTCCTCGCACACTCAGCTCGCCTTCACACAGTATAGAATTCAATTGCATCGAAGTACCGCATGTGTACTGACGAAGCGTGGTCACCCCGCGTGTGACCACACGTTGTGGACCCGAGACACTGTTGATGTTACACCATTAGCAGCGGAATTGCAAAAGGCGTGAGCACCTGTGACCCCTCGACTGAAGACACAGCGGACCGCGCGGGGGGCGGTAACGTTTCTGAACAACAATGAGCGCGGTTAGAATGTTCATGTGTGTAGTCGTCGCGGGCGGGCGGGGCGCGTCGCGTCTCACCGTGAGGTCTGTGGACATCATAAATCAAAGATTTATTTATCTACATAGATTTTAATTATTCCCTATCAAAAATTTACATTGTTTTCAAAAATGTGTTGTTTTCTTGTCACTTCCTTGTTTTGCTATTTTTTTGCAAACATAGATGAACGAGCTCACATCCTAACCGTTGAGAAGTGGGGACCATAGCTCGCCAATATCAGAGCACGGACGGTCCCCACGTAGAGACATGGGGCGGAGTCTCAGCTGTAGAGCGCATTCCTCATTCTTGTAGTCGGAACGCTTCGCGGCACAACGTCGCTACGTTTGTTTAGTCAAGTGATTATAACAGTACGTACCGGGCGGGGGGCGGCGCGGGGCGGCGGGGGGCGCTAGGAGAGGAAGGGGTTGGGGGTGCGCGAGGGCGCGGCGGCGGGCGCCCAGGGGTCGAGGACCCCGGCCACGCCCATCTGCTGCTGCTTCAACTCGTTGATGCTCAGCCGCGTCTGTCGGGTGATTCGTGGTTCAAAATAAGGCTAGCCACACGTCAAAAGATGTGAGTTTACATATTTTTTTAATTGCTCAAATGGATGGACGAGCTCACGGCGCACCTGGATTAAATGATGGAAGAATAAGCAGGGCACATAGATATCGAGAATGTAAATATACCATCCTGTAATGACACCCTGTGATATCACTTTCATTAAGCCTTCTTTTGTACATGACGAAGGACCGGTATCTTCTAGGTCGAATTACGTCAATGGTAACTAAAATAATTTTTATCTCATAAAGGTTTATGTCCGTTAACTAAGTTCAACAAACAAAGGTATAAATAATATTGTGAAAAGCCCAACGACTTCAGATTGCTTTTGAAAATAGCAAATGTGGGGTCAGCCTAGTTCTCGAACTTCAAGATGTGCACGAGATCTCAACTGATTGAAACAGAGACACACAGAGTTCTCACGAGTTGTTTTGTCTTGCGCGCTATTTATTCAATGAAATACACTCAAAAAACACTTAACATCAGGTGAGCCGTATTTGTATAAAGCAATATACAGGTGTGAAATAATAATAAGAGTTCTAGTTCTACTACACAAAAACTGTTAAAAGTCTCGGGCATTTGAGGCAGTCCGCCGGCGCCGCTACTCCGCTCCGAATGTGTCGGTACATCAAACAGCTTCTTTTGTATTTTCAGCGAAGGTGAAATTTAGTAACATTCGCCGTAATAAAGTTGACACTTTCAGAAATATTTGAGCCTTATGTACTTAATAACGAGGTAGCATTTTTTATTATTATTATTAACCCCTTGACTGCCATGTAGGTCACTGGTGCCCTACGCGGCGCACTGAAGTAATTATGTCGATTTCTTTCTTCGATGTTCTTACTAAGGCGCCGGTATATATAGTATATACTCTGAGAAAGACGAATCCGAAGATAATCTATTTCTAAGGTACTTAAAAGACTAAAATATACATTAACGAACAAAAGAGGGCAAAGTTAGGCAATCCAAACGTTTAGTAACAGAAATCGACCAAATTACTTCAGAGCGCTACCACGTAGGACACCGGTGACCTACACGCAGAGGGTGGGTACTCACTGGGGGCGCGGGCGGCGCGTGCTGCAGGAAGGGGTTGTGCGGGGGCGGGGGCGCGGGCTGCACGAGCCGCTCCAGGTTGACGAGGGAGGAGTTCTCCCCGAGGAAGGCGGAGGGAGACTTCTTGACGGCGCCCGTGCCGTTGCTCGGGCTCAGGCTGCTCTCTGGAATATGGAAACGTTCGATTCTTATATAATTTAAACTTCTTGGTAGCAGAGTCCAATCTTTAAATCGCAGAGGGCAGGTGGTTACGAAATAATATACTAACACACTTTTATAAATTAAAATTGATGAGAGTGAAATTTTACGATGCGCGCGCACCGTGACACAAAATTAACAGAATGAAGTTGCACACTAAATCGCTCATTACAATCCGACCGACGTAACTTGGCGAGTCTGAGTATAGCCGCAGGTGAACTTTCCGAACCGTACCGAGAATCACCGAATTTATACGATTCCAAGAAAAGGGATGTCCAATATGCGTGTTTGAGGATGTTGTTTAATCGATTTTTTTTCAAATTGATTAAAATTTAAATAAATAAAAAAAGAAATAAATTTAATAAAAATAAAGTATAACTTCTCACGCGCGTACATAACTACACGTACCGTTTTTTTTATCGAAATCACAGTTTTTTTATTTTGTTTTACTTCACGAACCAACTTGCATTTTTTCACGTTTTATGACACCTATTGTGACTGCTCTCTATTTATATATGTTTTCTTTTCTTTTGATAAAGAGTTTCTATATCTATCAAGTCCAATAGATTCATCTTTCGGTTGGATATAACTCAATAGTATTCTTAACACAATATAATACCGACCCAGGGCGGAGAGGTCGAAGGGGTCGGCGGCGGGCGGGGGCGCGCCGCGGCGCTGCGACAGCGCGTCGAACTGCTCCAGCTCCGAGGAGGAGCCCGAGGACAGCACCGACTGCGGGGATTTACTCTGAAACGACAACGAGCGGTCGCAGTTACGTTACGCTACGTCGAGTGCCTCTGTGTGTTTTCAAAACTTAACAAAAAAAATCATTTCGACAGTTTGCTGCCGGCCATGGGTAACTCGACCCTTTAAAATATTCTCATGTCTGAAAGGTAAAAAAATTATAGGATTTACCAAAGGACACGTGTCCCAGTTCTAACAGACAAAATGTCTTACTTAGCTAGCGGGTCAGTGACAATTACATCATTTATAAGCATGGCGTACCTGTTCGAGGGGCGCCCAGGGGTCGGCGGGGGGCCAGGGGTCACGGAGGTCTCCCAGCGGAGGACCCAGCGGAGGGCCCAGCGGCGGACCCAACGGAGGGCCTAGCGGCGGACCGAGAGGAGGGCCGCCCCATGGATCCGCGCGCGTGTCCTGGACAAAAAAGTTTTAAATTTATTTAAATTTCATTTTTGTTCCGTTCAACTTTTGATGTTGAAGGCGGTTACGGGTTTCGCCCAAATCCAATTAAATAAAGTAAATTTATACGTGTGTTTTGCGCACGATATACTGGCGGTCAGCATATCATAACATTATTAAACAAAAATAATGCATTTATATGTGGACAATATTATCAGAAGAATCAAATTATCAGAAGAATTATTTTTTAGAAAAATATACGTACTGCTCTAAAATATAATTCGATAAACTACACAAACGTGTGAGCTGGTTTATAGTGTAGGTAGCATATGTGGGATTTTCTCAAAGTAAATAGCAGTTTTTTTGAAAAGTAACAATTTTTTTTAGAATAACTCGTAATCGTTCACACTCCTACTATGCTCGATCGCCATTTTGACCATCTCCCCCGTCCCTTTCTTCCTCATACATTCATCCCTTTCACTCGAAACGTTCCGTTTCCCAGACATACGGTTATTTTGTTATTTTCAATGTAATTACAATGTTCATTGATGTCGAATGTATTACTTTACTAGTGGCGTCGCACCGCGCCACATTTTTATCCCGTGACTTATCAACGGTTCAAATCTGACGGTATGTTGCCGCACAAATAGTTTAATAATAAAGTATATGGGCAGGGCGGTACCTGGTGTGCCGGCGGCGGCAGGGCCCAGGGGTCGAGGGGCGCGGCGCGGGGGGGCGGGGCTGCGGGGGACAGGTTGACGTCCAGCAGGTCCAGCAGGTGGGACTGCGAGCGCTCCGCCGCCGCCTCCACAGGACTCGTCCTGCAACATCACCACCTTACTCATTAATATTAAGGCTCGCTGTTGCTGGGGAGTGTCTACAATACCAACAATTAATACGATGTTTTCTACACAAGTTTCTACCATTACTGTGGCAAATCTTCATAAGCGAATTTGACATACGTATATTATAAGCCCCGGTGCCAGCCTGTGGCACTCAACATTGCAAAAGTGCGTAAGGGTTACGCTCTAACCGACGCGCGTGTCACAGGGCAGCACCTAGCTAAGGGAACTACTAACGTGGGGCTCCCCGTCGGCAAACGCTCTCCTCTTAGATTTATTTGAACTTCTGATATGGGAGGGAAGTGGAGACTGCGGAGGAAACTTTGGATTCTGGAAAAAATGAGGATCGGAAGGGATTTTCATGCTATGGTCGTTACGTCGTTCATATCGATACTATAGTTGACAATTATTTATTAATTACTGCGTTCAAAGATATTACACGTCAGGGCTTCTAGCGCAGGCAGCGGCCAGTCGTGACAGTGCGGGTACAGTTTGAGCATGAACTATGGAGGGAAAATGTTGGAGTAAGGGCGGATATTGGAGAAAAAGTAAGCAGAACAATGGTCGTACTGGAAGTCGTGCTGCGACTGGCTGATGGCGAGCTGCAGGCGCACGTCGTCCGACCTCCGGCGGCGCTCCTCCCGCTCCGCCTCCTCGCGGCTCATGGCCAGCGCCAGCTGCAGCTGCAGCTCCTCCTCCCCCGCCGTCAGCGGCCGCGCCAGCTCCGCCGCCCCGTCCACCCCCTCCGCGCCGCCCCCCGCCGAGCCCCCCCACGACCCCGACTCGCCCTGCACACACACACACACACGCACATGCTGTACTGGAACTGTTCTCGAAAGCGAAGTCAACTGGTGCTTTTTATTTCTCAAATCCATAAAATCAGCTGACACACGGGGTCAACATCCTACGATCGCGCATCGGGAAATAACCGTTATATTTCGTGTCCATGAAAAATTCTTTTATTTCAACATGAACTGTCTTACTCTTAATAACTTATCAGTTTTATAAGCTATTTATAAACCTTTAAGTTAAAATACTTAAAAATTATTATTAGTCTTGTTATATTTTTTATTACTTTTATTATTTTTTTGCATTAGCCACGCAAACGAGGTCCCCCCCGGATGCCAGGAGGCACGCGTCCGCCCCCACCCGGGGGAGCAGAGCGTCACCGAGCCATACGTACGGAGGGGAAGGTTGGGCTGGAGGGCGTGTCGAGTGCGCCGTCGCTGCCGAAGGCACTGGCGCTCTGCGCGAACCGCTGCTTGGCCTTGAGAGCCCGAGCGCGCTCGTTCTTCAGCCGCTCGTCGTCTTTCAGCAAGTTGGCCAGCTGCTTCGCCTTCTCCCGCACGTTGAGACCTGGAACGCAAACGAAAGGCATTCTTCAAGCTGATAGACGACCTTATATCGTGATGCTTTATTACTACGATTATGAAACCTCTATATAATGTGTAGCGGTTTGGTCACTCAATTACAACTAATCAACGAGAACTTTTTACTGGCGGTAGGACCTCCTGTCGGCGGCCTGTGAGTCCGCGCGAGTGGGTACCACCACCCTGCCTATTTCTGCCGTGAAGCAGTAATGCGTTTCGGTTTGAAGGGTAGGGCAGCCGTTGTAACTATACTTGAGACCTTAGAACTTATATTTCAAGGTAAGTGGCGCATTTACGTTGTAGATGTCTATGGACTCCAGTAACCACTTAACACTAGGTAGGCTGTGAGCTCGTCCACCCATCTAAGCAATAAAAAATATACGAGTATGAGACGCCTCCCGCGACATAATGTGTAGCGGTTTGGTCACTCAATCACAACTAATCAATAAGGACTTCTCAAATTTGAATTCTGTAACATAGTAACATACTCGGCACACGCTACAGAAGAGATAGTTCGCCATCGGCTACACTACACACATATTGAACGTTTCAATATAATAATATTTCGAAAACAACGTGAACGACAAAATGAATAAACACTTTTTATGCTTAGACAGTGCCCGACTTGACTGATTACGCTAGAATGATAAATGCGGGTGTTACAAACGCGTGATACGGGTATCGACTATCAGCCCGTTGGAATTAAATGCGTGACGTGTGGAACCGCCCCGGCCAGGTGGTGAGGAGTGTTGGAAACCGGCCCCGTCATTGCTCGCGGCAGAAATAGGTGGTCTCATGATTCGTTTCAGTTTGAAGGGCCAAGCAGCCATTGTAATATAGAACTGAGACTTAAAACTCATGTCTCAAGGTCCCAAGGATAACCACTCAATTTTCCGGATGGGCCGTGAGCTCGTCCACCCATCGCGTGGTGGACACGAGTTGATAATTAAATACGTAATTATTTAGAAAAATGATACAGTTCCCATTAGTTATACTATACTCATATCAATGAATGGGTGCCTTATTTATAAGACCACATACCCTTTCAATCATCCAAAGCGGGTAAAAAATTATTTTTGTTTTGAGGTTAAAAATCGATTTTAAACACAATAATATGTTTTAAATAGGTATGGTATTATCAGTGTTAGTGACATACGTACCCTGATCCTTTCCTTCTTCCATGTACTGGAAATCCTTTAATGTCTGTATCGCATAAATGTTCTCTTTACATTGCATCGCCACTTTCTCGCTGCCAGTCTTGATGAGGTACTCCATCAGGACCAGAGCTTTGTAAACGTGCCTCCAGTTCTTGCCGTGGTCATTTAAACGCTTCCATATCATCTGCATGATCTCCGTGAAGGCCATGACGTTGTACGTGAGGTCGGCGATCTCCGCCATGAGCGTGCTGGACGGACCCCATGGGTCGTTTGAAGTCGCCTCGCGAACTTTGACCTGGAAAGATGAATGTCGAAGACGGTCATTAGTTTAGTAGCTAAACGAAACGCAGCACGATTCCCGAGAGATGGAGCACGATTGCGGTATTGTCGGAACTCTTCTAACTTCGTGCTACGACAGAGCCTAGCCGATGGAGACGCATAGACGCCATCACACTTACCAACCAGCCTTCTTGAAGAGCGGTGCCCCCGTCCTAAGAACTGTCATTCGTTTTTATTTGCTAACGTCAAGAGAGGATTTCTAAATTGTTCTAAGAAAACAAGCGTGATTGGTGTCCTCAATATTTCTCTTAGCTCGATCACTCTATTCGCCCCTGCGATGTCTGACGATGGTGTTAATATTGTGGCTTCTCCGACAAATATATTTAGAGTTTGTCAATATTTTGGTAAAAGGGTCTTCCTCCGAGTCAGCGATGGACGCAATCTCAGATGGTAGTAGACCACATACTCTATCATATATCACGACACGTCCCTAAACAACCCCAAGCTGATTTCGTTCCAACAACATCTCGACACTAAAAAGCGCTACATATTACCGGGCCACGTGTTGATCATCTCAAATTTAACAGAGTTCAACAGATAACGATAACAGAAACACGAAACCGCCATGAATGGTACATCAACATTTAATATATCGGAATGTCCGCGTGGCGTCGGACTAATTTAGTACCACGTCATGCCTTCCCGTGAGAGCGTTAAACGCGACCAAACGATTCACCGGACAATAGGCAAATTCGTTGTCCGATTATTACATTACAACACTGCGACTGTCAACTGGCATTTGGTATGTCATTTTCTATTGATCGGTTTTTATTCTTCTTCTTCTTCATCGTTCTCACTGCCGAGGATCGCGATCACATGTAACTTTAGCTTCTCTAATTCATGTCTGGGAGACCGCATGTGTCCGAAGAAGCTCATAACATGTTCCCGGCAGATGGAAGAGAGCCTTTTTCGGATGTTTAGCTCCCTTAGAATGGACTCGTTAGTTCTCGTGGCAGTCCACTGTATTCGTAGCATCCTCCACCACACCCACATTTTCAATTTTATTCCAAAGTGTCAATCCTTCATCGTGGAAGACGTTCGTGAATATGTGCTGACTTAAAAAAATCGGTACCAGCCTGCAAGATGCGAACACCTGCTTAGTCGCATCGCTTGATACGATATCTCAAGGCACCTTATTCTTTACACGCGGACGACTTCACACTTTACCTTGTTACTGCTTATAAATGAGCGTTACTAAGAGGAAAATAAAAGGTGAAAACAGTTTCATTGAGCGCCCATATGAATACGTATCTCGTAATGCAAGTGTGCGCAGATCGTTCTAGCTAGCATCAATGATAAGCTGAATAAATATTGAATAGCGCTAATGAGTTTATGAGAAGTGTGCAATAACTGGTTACATACTTGAGAACATTAATGTACTTATTAAAAAAAAAAACATCGGACCAGTTGTGATATCAGATAAAATCACACACATTAAAATAAAACCAGATTTTTTTTCCCCTTACCTAATGGCTAGTAGTCTACAGGGCTATACCACGCGCACACAGGCAAGTAAACTCACGGGTTCAACCTGATAGAATTTGCTAGCACTAGGCCTAGCAAAAGCAGTGCTTTGCTTAAATCGGATTGGAGTCTCCAGCCATTAAGAAGATCCGGCGAGAATCTTAGTGGGTTGAAACCAGAATAATTATTTCCTACTCTTTATTGGAAACATCAGCGTCTAAGACTTAATACACGAGTCGAAGTAGCGACGATGTCAGTCGTTTAGAGCTACAAGACGTAGTGAATGCGATGTTATCATTTGTATAACATAACCATTCCCCCGGACAATGGTCATGATGAGAACAGATAGATCGGGTATTCCAGAGCGGCCCAGAGCACCTAGAAAACTATGGCCCGAACGTTTCACCCGCCACAAAAGAAATGCGGCGTTTTAACCTAAAACTGTGCAGACCTTTAAGGGTTATTCAAATTCCATAGCAATTACTGATGGTTTAGTTTTGCCTTGGAAGGCAAGCGGCGGCTCACCGAACGAGGAATGGTCCCTGATGCTCACGTGCATCATTAACGCTAGGTGCACAGACAATCGACTGCCGCTGAGGACTCTCTTCAGACAAAGAGAAAGAAATGTAATTGCGTTCAGAAAGCAACTAGGGAAGTTAATTTCGGGGCCGAAATTCGCTGTGCCACTAGGTGTCTGCTCTGGAATTTTTTTTAAGCGTGAAAATCTTGGGCTTTCCCTATTTTTTTATTTATTTAGACACACCAACTGTTATGCACACAAAACATTCAAGCTTAAAATTAGCAAGTATAAAATTAAGTCCTGATATGTAAGCCAGTTACAGGCATGTAGGTACAGCAATCTCTTATAACACACTATGACATGTTACAGCTATTTTACAAACAGCGGAAACATAGGTTAAATTTAAATGTTAACAGTACAACATTAAAAAAAATTGAAAAGAACATGAAAACAAGAGTTAAATACTTAATATTCTGTTATCTATTATAAACAAAGGAACTTGGATACTATAACTTATAATTTGTTTTTGAGACCAGGACACGTGTCGTTAAAAATGTCGATGCAGTCAATTAATAAAATTAATAATAATAATTAATAAAAGGTCTCTATACTAAATTCACAGTTTAATAAGAACATATATGATACAAACCTGAGCATCGGAATAGTTGTGTGCGAGGTTCTTTATATTCCTTCTGAGACCTGCTACGTTCACTTGCATCTCGTCCCGGGCCCGGGGCATCTGAGACAACAATAACAAATTAGTATATAATAGGTACATTAGTAGTCCCATCGTGAACACATTTTAGATGAAGCTGTTCAATTACTAAACAAAACAAGAAAGATAAAAACGACTAACAAAACAAAGGAGAAAATGGTGCGTAACCGTTTTGTCCTTTGGCTACTTAAATATAAATCAAAATGCAAGGTTGTTTAATAACAAATCAAATCAAATCAAATAAAAAAAAAATTTATTCAACATAAATGAAAGTACATACAACTACCGCCAATTCACAAGAATTAGCCTCCGTCCTGAGAAGAATTGGCAAGAAACTCAGCGGGCATGTCTTTTTTTTTTTTTACATATGAAATTATTATTTATTTATTTTTTAATATTAGATTTTTTTTAAAATATGAATTTTACAATGAGTATTATAACGTAACAATTACTACAATATTGAAATGCCTGGAGCGAGCAACTCATTCCCACTTTGTGCAATCTTCTAGTAGGTCTAACCTTAAACTAGGTACATATTATTATCCGCAACACGCTTCGTCAGATTTTTTAGATGAATCAGCAACGTAAGACCTAAACAGATTACGTTATATCCAAAAGTCTTCCTGAGAAAGCGCGAGCATGCTGGTACATCCCGTCTCGAACCTGCGATCTCATAAATGTCATCCAAAATTTTAAGTAGCAGTAATATGTATCCATTCTAGTATTTAATATATTTAATGATGGGTTTCTTTGTTTGTTACAATACGTCTTAACTACACAGCTGATCATCGAGAAGTTTTTCAAAGGTACAAAAGGGCATAGAGTACATTTCATTCAGAAAAAAGTACTAGGTACGTGAGGGCTGCGGCACGCTAATTATAATAGAAAAATGTTTTGTTTTGACTTTAGAAAAAAATAAACTCGATATTTATGATAGAGGATTGGATTCACAATTAACAAAAAAAGGATGCGCAAATGGTTTATGACTCCACAGCCACAAAGTTGCGAAAGAGATGCGCGATATTCAAACTACGTCCCAATTTTTTAATTACTGTTGCTTACAGCCTAATGATCACAATCAAACAGGAAATATCAGTATTTTAAAATTCTAAGCTTGGGGACCACAGCCTTGAGAAAAAGACAATTATACCTAAGCACTGGTACCCTATTTAGGCTATTCCAGCTACGCGGGGACGGGTAGGTGAGCTCACGAGCTCAACCTGAGGTAATATGCTAACACTAACCCTAGCAGGAGCAGTGCTTCGCAGAATCTACCACAAGATCGGAATCGCGACGCACTGAGAAAATCCAGCCAGAAACTCAGTGGGTTGTATCTTTGAATTAATATGGTGAGCGTTGCTTGAAGAACCTAAAAGTGCCGAGAATGACATGTTTAGGATGACGACGGCTTTGCGTTGCCCGCCGCCTGGGTCGGATATGTAATTAGCGGCAGTCATGATAAGTGAGTTATCGTGTCGCGTCGTTTTGTCAAAATAGATTTTTCCCCAACTATACATGGTGCTTAAATAGCTTCATAGAGTTGTTTATCTTCAAGCGCACAGACAATTCTGTATAATGTATAATATGTTTATAATTTAGTATTTGCGTCAACAGGCACATTAGCATATTCATATTGCATTCGATTTGAATAAAATACTACGAGATTTCGCTTTTTGAATCTTACCTATTGAATTATCTTGTACCAGGGCGTGACGTGATCACACACAGATAGTTTTAATATTTTTCCTGTAAAGCAGTTATACCAGTTTGTAAGGCAACTGTACCGTCTCCGCAAATGAGATTAAGACCTTGTGACTGGGACAAGGTTCTGAAGAGTGACCCATCATTATTGAACCAAGTTGTCTACAATTACCAATTGTAATTGAAACTAATATCACTTTAATGCCTTTTAGCTGTAATATTTATTAATATTACTCATGGACAAACGTGTTGGCGAAATTTTAATAAAAAATTTGACTATAGCTTACGAATGCCCCAGCTGGCAAGAACTATATTAGAACGGAAGACCGACCGGGTAGCTCAGTGACGTAGTTTAGGGTGTGATATCTACTGTTGCTATTTACGATGAAACAGTTTCATTAACTATCTAGTAAGTTGCTGCGATACGTAGCGTATCTATACTAATATATAAATCTACAGTGATTATTACGGATGTTCCGTTATAACTACTGAACCATGCATCCGATTGACTTGAAACTTGGTACCCATGTAGAAAATATACGTACTTAATGGATAGGCTAATATTTATATGAGTATTGGACACCCTACACCAGTTGCAGGGGCGTTAATGATGAAAATCTTTGTGGGGGTGAGAAATAATAATGTTAAATTTAAATGTCCAGCCAGGCGGACGGATACAGCTAGTCATTCCTATTTCAGATATCTCGGCGCAGATTGAACATTTGTAGGCAACGGTTTGGGGTTGTTCCTATTTCCACACGATGATCTAATGACTAAAATACTTAATTCAATGAATTACCTGTAACTTGTGCGAGTTGTTGACGAACGTGACTATAAGACGGATTGAAATTCGTAGAATGTGGAAACAATAAAAATAAAGAAAGTCTAATATATTCGCTGATGATAAGAGGTCATTCACACGTTACAATATTAAACCAACAATGTTATTGACGTCAGTGATACATGCTCTACAAATGCTATAAGGTTATTAGCGTCATGCGAGACGAATTCATTTTTAACTATCCTAACATCTTTATTTAGGAAAGAAATATCGTTTTCCATCAGAAGACAACTAATGTAAAGATAGAAACTGCGCTTCAATAGACTTGGACCTACAGTAGAGGAGCAAATAGCTTAAACCCAACGACAGCCAAACGATGTGAATATATTGATAAAGTTTAGCTAGTATGAACCACTTGTGAACACATTTCATGTTACCTAATATTCTCCATGTGTTATTATCTCTACAATAGGACTGTATAGAGCAGACGGCACAGTTTATCAATTTTCATGTTCACGTTGAGAATCATGTTTTTCGGTGCACGATTGGGTCGTGTTATTTTCGTCGCGTCGCGTTGTAAACAAAAGAGTGACGCTTTCGTGTGAGCGACCGGCGGCGTACGTCAACAAATATCTTTGGATAAGTCATGTGACAATATCAGACAATGAAGATTAGGTAGACAAAATCATTGGGGGTTATAGTTAGATAGGATTGTGATGTGGCAGGCTAAAAAGTAATACGTCTACCCGGATGTAGCAGTATTTGTACATAAAAATGAATAATATAAAAAACGTTATTATTGGAAATAGAAAATATTGTGTGCTCAAACTAATATGTGGTGGCCGCAATACAAAACAATTCATTGTACCTTAAATGTTTATTTTCTGTCCCAATTTGTTGATTGCCAATAAAAACGGTCATATTATCTGCGCAAGGTCTAACGTCAAGGTCTTTGTCGTTGAAGATGGTGCGTGAAACCAAGCCGTATCTTTAAACGCGGTTACCACAGTGAATTAAAGACAAGTTAAGATGAAAGTTGTCTATATAGAGTATTGGAAATATGCTTTTATAAGTACTGGATAAGCCTTAGCACTAAAAACGGGAACTATTGTATTATTTTCACAGCAAAAAAACTGTATGTTTCCGTGTTGATAGCGTAGGTAATATATGCGAATACTATGTTTGAAGGTCGACTCTTCACAGTGCAGGGAAAATTAAGTAAGTCCATAGCATCAGCCTCGATATTAGATGTATACGAGGAAAACGGCCTTATGTCGCGACGGTATGTCATTGCCAGTAGTCGTTTAAGTCCTGACTAAGCGATAGAATGTACAATACACAACAAAACTAACCTCACTCTACACGTTTACGCAGTACAGTATTTTCTGTTGTGTGTTTTTAAAGAACGATATAATTGATTTTAATTGAAATGACCAGTGGTTTTACCCACTGAGTTTCTCGCTCGCCGGATCTTCTCAGTGGGTCGCGTTTCCGATCCGGTGGTAGATTCTGCGAAGCACTGCTCTTGCTAGGGCCCGTGTTAGTAACACTCCGATTTGAGCCCCGTGAGCTCACCTACCCACGTTAGGGTGAAGCTGAAATAGCCTCTCAAAGCTATCAGCATAGGTAGGAAAAAAAATGGTTTTAAAAAGAACTTGATTCTGTTTCTTTTTGTCAAAGTGGTCCACAGGTAACATGTAGATTTTTTTTCATTTAGACAACAGCTCGGCACACGGTAACACTATTCGCCAAAATCAAACACAAACAGGATTAAATTGACGGGCTTCTTTTCATTACGTCAACAACAACGTTTAATGGATTCTTTAGAAATAAACGACAGAAGCAAACTGAAATTCGCAATCGTAAATAAAAAATATTTCCCAAATGGCTCCTAGAATATACATTGCTTTAACAAATAAAATATATTTCTAAATGAAGTGTTTCTTACTCAACGATTGAGTTAGTTGAAAATAAATTTGGTTGACTGCGTGTAATTGGAGCCACTTGTTCATAAAATTTAATAGTTTTAAATTGCATTTAATGTACGATAATTTATATCGCGTACTTAATTAAAATGCTAATACTTCTTGTAAATAATATTTAGACGGATGACTAAAATAATTTAGCTTTTTCTATTACATTATCTTTCTGAACCAAAGAAAACAAGAGAAGAAATAAATGATTTAGCGTAAAGATCGGTCGCTGATTGTTCCATTTTATGGTATTTGTTACATGAACGTGCATGGTTTTTCCAAAGTCCTGTTGAGCGTATGTCATGGCGGGTGTAGTCACTTTAGGTACAAGGTTGACTATATTACTAGCGTAAATAAGCAGATAAGCTAACAGCACTTATCCACGTTACTGACTGCGCAGAGACCACAATGACAGTGCCATCGCTGACCTTGGGAGATAGAAATCTCAATAGCAAAAAGCTTGTAAACTTACTCTTTGAACCGGAAAGCTCGATTGATTTGCACCTTAAATAGGCTGGAATGAACCGGTAGGGGGATTCGAAATCACAAGGTACCCAACATAAGACTCGCGGTAGGCAGCGGCTTGGCTCTGCCTCTGGCATTGCTGATGTCCATGGGCGACGGTAATCACTCACTATCAGGTGGGCCGTATGCTCGTCTGCCTACAAGTGCAATAAAAAAAGTCTATCAACATCGAAATCTCGAACAATGTAAACTGGTACCGTAATAAGTGATGCATTGACAAATTAAGGGAAAAATCCTCGGAATTCACAACACACTCAACATTAGCTCACTTTACGCTTGTAGATGATCAATAACAATGGCAACCTATACCAGTCCAATGCGAAGTAAAAAAATATATAATTTTGTGGTTATTCGACATTTTTTTTTCAAGATTTCCCGGTCACGCGAAACCAATATTGAGAATTTCCAATTATTTCCACGAATAGCTAATTGTCGCAGGAAACAATGAATAGCAACACAATAAAACAGTTATAAATAATGCGACACTAAATCCCACCTTGAAAATCACTTCAACGACACGATCACAAAAACAAAATCACATCGAAAAACATTCACTTCCATTAAAAGTTCACACTAAAAAGAAGTAGCTAATTAACATCACACGCTTCAAAATGAAGAACGTCTCGCTAACGAGGCAGCTAGCTAACTGAATGTCCTTACTCACGGAGTCGGAGCAGCCGTTGTTAATATCATTATGACGTGTTCATCTCTGTGTAAGTAAGTACGCTAAAAGAAAACATTGTTTTGTGTTTGCCGCATCTGATACTTTTATTATATTTATTTAGAAAAAGAAAGGCTTAAAATTATCTCTTTAGTTGATTTCCGAAAAATATTTTAGTTCTATTGTTTACTAAGTCCACGGCCTTATTGTTAAAAAGATTAAGAGGTCGCATACAATTACATGGAAAATCAGTTTCGAAATACGCGATTTAAACAATCAAATTTCTTTATGAGAACCAACTTATTGCTCTGTACTGTCGGTTGTTTTTGATTTATATTTGTAGCTTTTCTCTGTTCATATCGGATGTTTCTATGTTCCAAATTTTATCCTGCCAATGTTTTATCATATAAGACGGGTCATGTGAGGTTCTACAGTGCGCGGAAGCCGTATTACACCGGTCATAGTCACGTCTGATAGACAAATGAAAGTGGCACACATGCGTTACCGTACGAGACTAATAGCATTACGCTTTTTTATTATTATTAGTATTTATTGCATTGATGGGTGGGCGAGCTCACCGCCCACCTGGTGTTGAATGGTACCGGAGCCCATAGACATCTACAAGGTAAATGCCGCCACCCACCTTGAGATATGAGTTCTAAGATCTCAGAATTGTTACAACGGCTGCCGCACCCTTCAAACCAAAACGCTTCACGGCAGAAATAGGCCGAGTGGTGGTACCTACCCGTGCGGACTCACAAGAGGTCCTACCACCAGTAAGTTTGTTTTGTGTTTTGTTTTTTAGTCAATTAAGCGTTTACTTAAAGTCTTAAACATTTATTAAGAAGCCGTTTTTAATATTTAGAGCTGTGTTATTCTCTTCATTATTGAGTATTCGTTCCACCGATCAGGATCCTTTAAAAGGTACATCTCCGATCACTAACTCACGCTAAATCATCCATCTCATCAAACGGAGTAGTCGTGAAAAACTACAACGAACAGACGATAACTCGAGATCGCAGGAAGTGGAAGGATATGTACCTGCTCTTAGCATTCGAAGATATAGACAATTTCGCGAATTTCATTTTTATTACACGCTACTATTTATTGTGCTAAGTTTGCAATTCAATATTAAAAATGGTATTTGCTTACATCTTCCATTTCCAGCGGGAAACATTGACGATATACCTCGTGCAGTTAGCAACATATCTACATATCAATTGCACACGTGAAGGTTACATTTAAGCCGCTGAATCTTCTGGTTGCATTTTAAATAGGAACAACTACTAATAAGAACATAATACCGAAGAATGTTTGTTTACAAGCACTTTACGTTGTGACGTCAATAGCGACACATCTTTTATCGCGACCACTAAGTCCCAACATCGTTATCAATTCAGCTGATAACATGTAATTATGGAATGGCAATTAGAATGGTATACCAATTTGGGTAATAACATTTTGTCAACATTTAAGAGGGATTCATAGGTAGTGGTAGCACGTAATGTAAGCCATCACGGGTAGGTACCACCATTCTACTCATTTCTATCACTAAGCAGATATGAGTTCTGGATTGAAGAGTGTGACAGCTGTTATGTAATACAGTTGAGGTTCCGGCTTTGTAATTACCATGGGAGCCTTAACAACTTAACATTAAGTGGGCCGTGAATTGCATAGGCAATGAATAGAATAAAAATAATTATTTGTATTGGCATTTACTAGACAGCGCGTATTAAGCAAGCGAAATTTTTAAATGTCAAATCAGCAATTTATATTTTTCCTCATCTACAGACCGTTCACCATAAGATGTCCCCTGCCTTGAGAGTTGGTAGCATTGCTAACGGTGTTGCAAACAATATATGTACCTTTTACCCCCCATTATCTTGTGTGTAATGTAAAATTATTGTTTTCGCTTCTGTTGCTCTAATAAAGACCCCCTATATTAGTTTTTCTTCAATATCTTCAAAGCACAGATATCGACCTGGCTTATTTTTATTATATGTCTAGATAATATATAGCTAAAAGACTAGGAAGGTTGTAAATTATGACACAATTTAAATTTTAAATTATTTATTTATTTCATTTTTACTGACAGTAATTATGGTCGAAAGAAACGATTCCAGACTGTCACTTGCATAAGCGTCGTTTGACGTATCCGAATCTGTGCTGCTGTCGTTTCCTAGTTCAATTATGAATTTATCCGTAATATTATCCATGCAGCCATCGCGTTCATAAAATTTGTCTTCTAAATGGTTTATGTGTTCACACTGTTTTTGCCAATCCTGAGGAGTTATCGATGAAAAAGCTTCTTCAGTTAACTTCACGATATTACCAGCTTCTTGGCTGACATTATTGCTAGCTACTCGAGACTTGAGTTTTTGAGACGTAGAGGCAGCAACTTCACCTTCTTTAGTTATTCTACTCACGGTTTTCTCAGACATGCCTGAAATAGACACATAAAATTTGTATCCTTTTATAAAAGTTAATATTTATATAAACTTAACTAATGACCATATTATCGAAATAAATGAAACTCACTGAGATGTGTACTTTTTTATTTTAATTCTTTACGACAGTAAATTCTTATTACCCATACTAAAGGTATTGTGTCTGAAGCTTGTATCCCCATTTTACTAACCTGTCATAGCGGCGACTCGTGCTCGCACTTGATCGAGTCTAATTAACGGGGCTTGATTTGCCTTTTCTCTCTCACAAAAGGCACGAACCTTCAACACAATCTCTCTTGCACTGTTTTTAAATGGCTTTGGCATGAATAATTTGAAGAATATTAAATATTAACGCAAAAACTAACTGCATACGTCACAACAGACAATCTGACAACAACAGATTGACAAAAATGACAAGTAATACTGCCAACATCACGGCAGGGGACAACTTACCGTGAACGATCTGTAGTTAGAGATGAAATGTCAAACGAACACTTACTTTCTAAAAACATAAAATGTAAATGACTATAAAAATAATAATTTAATAAAAAATTTCTCAACCGTGTGAGGTTACGAAATCCGAGGCGAGCTAACACAAACACTATGCCGATCTAACTGTTTCGGGCTCACAAATTCATGATCATTTAACTGAGTTGCGATCTTATTTCGCGGTATATAAGGTCGAGTTTGTTTACTACTTGTTCTGACGGTTGCGAGCCGTGCAAAATCTGCGCGAAGGCATTGAACTTTACGAAATATGAAATGCTGGATGGATTAATATTGGTTGGGTAGATGTGGGATCGGACCAGCGGCATCGTGTACCTATTCAGAAAGTAGTTAGATGGGTGGACGAGCTCACAGCCCACCTGATGTTAAGTGGTTACTGGAGCCCATAGACATATACAACGTAAATGCGCCACCCACCTTGAGATATAAGTTCTAAGGTCTCAGTATAGTTACAACGGCTGCCCCGCCCTTCGAACCGAAACGCATTACTGCTTCAAGGCCGAAAAAGGAGAGTGGTGTAACCTATCTGTGCGGACTTCCAAGAGGCCCTACCACCAGTATATACCCTTTCGATGGGTGACGGTTTATGGTTTATATTATCTTGAGTGTCCCCATCACTCATGGACATCGGCAATGCCAGGATCACAACTAAGTCGTTGCCTATCGCCAAGGTTCCTTCAATTCTCATCTAAGTTAGGACGTGTAACAGCACGGCGGGATCAGGAAGGAGAGGATCTTCGCCGGTTTATTCTGACGTCACGTCGCAGAAGTGATCTTTGGAAGCGCACTACGCCTCAACAGCGGTAGTAGCGATGAGGTCTGTTTCAAAGTTGGACGATGCGATAAACGCATAAAGCAATTACTCCCTCCATATTAAAATAAATCGCCCCAATATTGTTCAACACTAGGCCTTAACGTAGATTTCTTAGCGGCAAAATATAGAAGTATTCGTGTAATTATCGAGCCAAAAACGAGGCTTCCATAGTTTTCCCAAGAGTAAATCATTCGTGAATTTAATTTATGTAATATTTTTTTCGGTTTCCGCCAGTCCTAGAGGTAATTAGAACTATTTTTACACTTTAATCTCTCGTTTCTTATTTGGTATTTCCGTAGTAACGTTACGTATATGATCACGTAAACAGGTATTTGCTCCGAAAAGGAACAGTATAGTTACAGCGATTAAATCCGTCACTCTAGAACGAGACACCAGACGACTCGTACACATCAGGAAATGTCCTTGAAACAAACAAATCAGGAAGAAGCAGTTCAATCTTGAAGGTATCTTAAGAGGAAAATTAAATCGACAATAAAAGCGACTTATTGTCCTGTGATTTTTAAATAGCAGTTCCATATCCGACTTCAGAGGTATAATTTTAAATTAGTGTGAAGTGAGTTTATTGTGCCAGATACCAACGAACTACCTGGTGTTAAGTGATTACCGAAGCTTATGTATACTAAACATGAGTGCAGCCATTAGCTCTGACAAGAGATAGAAGTCTTTATTGTGTATTTTAATACAGGAACATGCAGACGGCAGTATACTTTCCTGGGGTTAGAGTAATAGCGCAAGTTTACAATTTTTGCGGGTTACAATTGATTTGGTGAACTTTTATTTTTGTTTTTATTGCTTAAGACGCCTCAACGAGCTCACCTTGGATTAAGTTGTTAAGGCATCAAGAGCTTAAATGTCGCTACATTGGAACACAAGTTCTAATTCTCAGTTCCAGAATACAACGGCTGCCTCACTCTCATTATTGTTTCGCGGCAGAAATATGTCGGGCGGTGGTCAAAACGCGTTACTCAGTAAATTTCCAAGTGATAGTAAGGTTTTTGTGCAATTTATGCCTTAAAATGGGTGAGACAATTCAAGTGTGGTATTAATTGACCTCAAACATTTCATACGAAACCATATGCTTCAAATGCATGTAGGTACACACGATAATAAGACAATACCGCCTATTATACTAACTGCAAGTGTTTTTTTTTTATTGCTTAGATGTGTGGAAGAGCTTACAGCCCACCCGGTTTTAAGTGGTTACTGGAGCCCATAGACATCTACAACGTAAATGCGTCATCCACCTTGAGATATAAGTTCTAAGGTCTCAAGTATAGTTACAACGGCTGCCCCACCCTTTAAACCGAAACGCATTACTGCTTCACGGCAGAAATAGGGGTGGTGATACCCGTGCGGACTTACAAGAGGTCCTACCACCAGTATTTTTTTTTATTTCAGTACTCTATATTATAATACGTTTTCTAACAGATTTGTATTATTATAGTACTGCCTGTACGTGAAGAGTACAATAAATAAATAAATGAGTATTTGAAGGGTATTATAGGGTATACGACAAAGGGAAGACGAATGTTGTTGTTCGGAGCTTATCTTATCTTAGCTTAGCTTATCTTGAAAATGTAATAGGCGAGATTCAGGCATTTGTCAAGTATCCTGTGCTCTGTGATGGCTATCCGGTACAAGTATTATAAAAATCGGTCCCCAGTCCCGTACCCCATCCTACCTATTTCTCAGACCATATCCCAAGATGGGTTATCAGTAATCAACGAGACATTACTATTACCTAGTACACACCGCGTTGACTCGAACCCAGTTTGAACGTCTCAATAATAGTGACAACGCGTTTTAACTGTTTCTACTGTTTACCACGTCCACTAATAATATCCCCTCGCAGAAGAAAGAGTACTTTATCAGCTCTCGATCGAAACCTAGGTCATTTGAACAATGACGTCACATGACATGGAAGCGAACAGGTCGTCGACCTCGCACGCAACGCGCCGATCATGATCATTATGGGGATTTTATTGTTTCCTGTGTGTGTCTAGCGTTGCGAGAACCAAACGTATGCTTTATGAAGATCTCTCATTGTAACTACTAACTGGCAGCTAGGCCTGGTAACGGCGTTCAGCCGCATCATAGCTTAAATGCCTTCGACAAACTCGAAAGATGACTTTGAAGTCTCGATTCAATTGAAGTTAATGATTGCCCTGCCCTAAAAAGAGCAATGCTTGATTGAAGAGCAAACGGTCCATGTGACACTATGGTCGTGCCGACCCCATAAGCTGCAGAACTACTCCGTACTCATGACGAAAGCTCAATTATTTTCAAAGAACGACTGTACTGTCCTTTCTACCAAATCAACCGTGAGGCGAGCATGGGTTGGTTGAATATGCGCGAACAAAAAGTCCTAGCACCAATTTATTTATTCTTGCAAAGAAAACATGACATCTTTCTTATAAAGAAACAACAGGTGACCACCGAAGCTCACACTACAATTACATACACGAATCATGTAAAACCCCAATATAGTTAGTTTCTGGTCGGAAAAAAAGCAATAAAAATAAATATTGTTAATGATTACTTGAAGTAATTAGTGGGAATTCTTAAAATTATATTTAATATCGCCAATATTATCGCGACTGGAAAGTTATAAATAAGGTTCTCTGCTTTGTCACGGCGAAGGGGCACGTTTTCGGAAGCGAAGTTTAAAACTAGAACCGATATTCTACTGTTCTGTCTTCTGTATTTAGGGATTTTCGGAAGGACGATACAGCAATGTGTCTGCTACCGCGCGCGTAGAATCAGAATGCTTCTAAAATAGCCCTCCCTCGCCCTCGCCCTCGTGAGAACGAAGAAGTATTTTTCATTACTATACTTTAAGACTTTATTCCTGACTCCGCCCATAAATTTCATAACACTTCGATATGCTTTCGATGGCAAGGTCACCGGTTGCACTCCAGTTTAAGCTGCCAAAAACTCCTTGCATTATCGCAATATTTATTCTTATGTTAATATCCAGACAGAATAAAGTAAGAACTCCAATAATACATTACGCACAGATATATATGTACTACGTATCAAGACGATGATTCATCGTGGGCAAAATAAATTTAATCCAAATTGATGACGGGTATTTAACTGAGATTACAAATGGCATTTTTTTTTATCATAATACATGACTGATTAGGTTCAGAATAGGTAATTTTTTGAATGAAAATTTATTGAAAAAATTTGTTTCTCACATATTCATGTAGAATGTAGCCTGTGATTCATTGATACCCAGAAATGATATGAGTCGCAATGTTGAAGAATCTGTTAGAAAGATTACCGAGAAGAATTTCGTTTTGGTTCTCTAGAACTATCTAGAAAAGCAGTGTAGTTTCAATGTTGACATTTTTTAATATTTTGGATGGGCAGAGGATTTTATCACCAGACCTTAGATTGTAAGGCCGAGCTGATGGCGTCACAGCGAGATTGTTACCTCTCATTAAAAGACATGAGGTCGAGGTCTTTATTGTATTGCATAACAGCCGCACCGCCCTTCAGAACGGAATAAACGCCTGCTTTGCGGCAAAATGTGATCCGCGTGGACTCACCATCCGCCTTTCCACTGGTAATACCAGTGGTATAACCAGCTCGGTTAGACTGCCGCGCTCGAAGTCTTTTTGATTAGACCAGTCCAAGCGCTAACTATTTTACTATTTACTTAGTTACGTATTAACGATAATGTTTATCACCACTTCCTTGTTTGCCAATAGTGATGTAATAAAAAACGAAATGTTGTCTAACTGGGTCCAACACACAAAATGGTATGAAAAAATATTGAACAACAGTTAAAGCACTAGTCTATTAATAGTCAGGCCGCTGTACAAATCGATAAGTCGTGTGGACACAAGGTCCGCGGTCCGGTCGACCTTCTAACAGACGATGGAACACCAATTAGCATATGTTTCGCAGGTTGCTGTACAACCGTGGAAACTCGCGTTATATCTGACACAATATCTGCATGGGCTCGTCGTACCAATGTAAAATTAAAATTCAAAACAATGATTGCTGTGCGAACCTAATGCTACCACACACTCACCTTGGAAGGGAACCCCAAGTCACAATGGTACTATTTAACGGCTTAACTTTAACGCTTTAAGCCAGCAGGGTTGTGATACCTACCCGTGGAGGCTCAAGATTCGCTCCACCACCAGTGAGTAAAAAAATCGAATTAAAAACCGATTATTTTGGTATCAAACAATCTAACCGTTATTGTCGAATGCCAAAACAAATGACTACTGCTGATTCAAAACACAATCGCATTCCTCAGAAAAACCGGAAAACGAACTCGGCTGGTTTCAGGTTCTATGAGCATTTAGGTCTCAACGCAAATTTCAAACTCAAGCTTTGAAAAACAAAACACCGTATGTAAACAATACGCAATTCTTACAATAACAATACAAAACGAAACGCAACTGAAACAAATACCTCATTTTCACCACATTACATGAGAATCACCCATTTAGGAAACGCTAGGGATGGATTCTTCTGTTTATCAGGTTGTCGTTGCGCGACCTTCAGTGTTAGCCCTACGGCTCGTAACTAATCGTAAGATATACACCATGAAAGCGTTTTCAATTATAGCATTGTTTTAAATAAATCTATGTTCATTTATTAAAATTATTATTAGCGTAATTCCGAAATTGCCACTTGTTACATAGATAATTTTTGACGGGATTTAACTACAAGAATGAGAACTCGATAGTTTTATGGATTCGCTATGGAATCACTATAAGTTTCATTACTATCACAGTCTATTGCATATATCTATCTATGACATCTAGATGCCCTTACAAAATAAATTGGTGTCTTTGACGCAAGACACGAGTGCATTTAATAAAAGTGGGGTTTTTTTATCAGTCGTGGTTAATAACATCGTACCTTCAGTTTTATAGCTTACTAGCGACCCGCCCTCGCTTCGCTTCGGAAACAATAAAACACAAATGAAACCAAAAAAAAAAAAATTAAAAAAAAATAAAAAAAGTAGCCTATGTTCATCAGGGACAATGTCGGCTTCTAATGGGAAAAAAAATTTCAAATCGGTCCAATAGTTTCGGAGCCTATTCGAAACAAACAAACAAACAAATCTTTCCTCTTTATAATATTATAATATTAGTATAGATATAGACTACGACTATTGGTTTTATAGAGCCATTATTTTTCGTAATTTAATTAATTACAATATATGGCGTTTGAACACTGAACATACCTCAAACGGAATCCAGGTATAATTTATTAGTATCGGGTAAATACATACATGAAATTGCTACTTTTATGCTTATGACGCATATTTATTATACTTACAGAGGCAGAAGGAAAATTTAGAATGGATTGGATTAAATTAGATTTAGTTTATATTAATATCTTGACTCTTAAAAAAATCCGGTGTATGTTTATGTTTTCGTTATACTCAATGGCCTAACGTATATGTAGACATTACCGGGACGGACTGGGCAATCGTTAGGTTCAGTCGGTTTGTTTTCTCAGCAAACTTTTTGGTTTTTTTTTATTTAATAAAAAAAAATTGTATTTGGATGAAAATTACTCCGATATCGTTCGCACGAATTTTAAAATTAAGTAAGCCCTTATTATCATCATGATAAAATTCACGAATCCACAAATTCTTTGTTGTTTTCGATGTCAATGTATAGACATAATTAATGCGTAAAGTTTTCGTATGATGGATGACTAAGATTTTCGTTGGCAAAAATTGATTTTTTTATTAATGTCCCTCCTTATATGCTTATCTATACAGAGTAACGTAAATTACCAAAAGCGGTTTAATGACGTTTTTTTTTTAATTCAATTTCCGAAGACTTCTACAGTAGGATGTTCTATACATCCTACAGTCGGAAAATGTAAAATCAAATTAACGGGATATTTTACGGTTAGGCTGAAACGTGCTGCGTAATTCTGTATTTCCGTTTCCTCCCTGAATATTAAATATAGATCAAATATTTTTATGTATTTAAATTTTGAACACGCTCGTACTAGCTTGTTATATATTATGTATCTATGTATGTATGTACGTATGTACTATATATTTGTTTTTATGTAACGGGTAACTTTGAATGTCATTTTCACTTACTACAAGGCATCCGATTATCTTGAAAATACACACATCAAGCACCAAGGAGAAACAATAATTTTATAAACTCACTCTAATACCAGTATCGACCTGATAAAAAAAAAAATATATAAGACAATAAACAAATAGTTTTAAAACGGCTTTTTTTATTTCAACTATTGGGAATCTTTTAAAATTTATTGCTTATCCTGTATCTAGAAGAATTTTTTTATCACCAACCAGAATAAAAGCAAACAAACCGGCGTAGCCATTGTCTGACTATATTGAAAAAACAAACGTTAAATTGGTTCAATTTGGGGGCGGATACAGTTGTACCTTCCGTGTCGAAAAATGCTTTTAAAATCTTTAAAGCAGTCATAGCCTCAAATTTCTAGAGCACAAATAAATAATGCATTATTGTGAGAAGTGAGACAGATAATATATCAATGGCATTCATTGATGCCAATAAGTTCAACCTCATGTTTGTGGTAGATTCCAGATGAACCATCAGCTTCACGGTCTATCTACAATACTAAAAAAGAACATTCTGAAACACTGAACAAAAAATGATTCATCTTATCACGGATTGAATCTTTATCATGTTTTTGAGAGGTCTCGTCTGATATCACGCTGCGATTGATTGTCATTAAATTATCTACAACATTTATTGTTGTTCGTGAACATGTTTGTTTTGTTCTATTGTCTAAAGTGTTGAGGAAGTGAAGGACAATTTATTTAATACAAAAAATGTATTATGTTTAGTGGTAGTAGGGCACATTACAAACAATCTAATTTATTGATTTCTGCGGCATATCATAAGCCTGCAAGTATCATCATCTTATGTATTCTGCCACAGAACATTCATGTGTTTTGGTTTGAAAATGTATCATACACCTTCCTGCAACACTACATTAAGTAAAATCGAAAATTTTAGCAATGATTATATTATTACATCGATACGTTTTTTGCATCTATTGCATATTGACTGAAAATATTGGGAATCACATGAATAAGTAAATTGAAAGGAGGCGAAAATGGAGTGAGCAGTGCCCAGTGCCACGACAGACTGATGTCATTGGTTCGGCAGGACCCCCAAACCAAACAGACATCTCACTCTAAGTCACAATAGAGGCAGACCACTACATCAATGGATGAACGGCAACAGGCTACAAGCCAGACATAAATCAATATATATAGTCCAAGCAGATGAAAGTTTTGAAGAAGTTTGTATTCAAAAATATATATAAGAGGGCACAAATAGATAGTAGTATGTTGTGTGTAGTTGTGTTCATCTATTGCTTTATATGTAGCTTGTCCATCTATTGCTTTATATGAGATGAATTTAATTATAATTTTTCCATTTTCATCAAAACACAAATAAAGCACTAAAATGGCCTTTACACTATTTAAATGTCAAAATCTCAATCACATAATGTGTTAGGTGTTGAGATAAAGAAGAACCAGTGTCAATTAGCATACAGGGGTGATCTAATAATTCTAATAATAATCTCATCGAAACTCCTAAATAACTGGGATTTTATAAACCCCAACATCAGAACCACAATTGTTTGTGAGTTTGCATTTATGTTGTTGATTGTTTTTATGACTTTTTTCTTGGGGTGTTGGGTCTATATGTCACACATACCTAGGTAAGCTATTCAAAGATGTCTTATCTGAAAAAGGGTGTCACAGCCATTTACAATACATTGAAATAATTTACAATTTTAAATGTGCAGTTAGAAAGTTTAAATTTGGAAATGAGTGTTAAAATAGTCAAGAGTTGGAATTCACAGCTAAAAGAGAATTTTTGTATGAGCTATGATAACAAATAAAATGAAATGTTGCTTTGATATGATAAAACATGTACATGTACAACATTCAAGGTTACTGGACAGAGGTAACATCCAACTTGCACTGCAAGTATTCAACTTACACAATGTTTACACCAAAATATTTCTTCACCACAAACACTTCACAAGTAACACCACTAGTCTGAGCTGTGCACAGGTACGAACGACGAAACAGTAATATTATACTAGATATCATTCAATGATAATTTTTTATCACATCAACTACGATAAATTAGTACACAGAATCTTCTACGATCGCCGAACGTCACGGTACGACACAGAACACAACACGACCGCCGAAGCGGGTTTCTGCGGCCTAATTCACTCGGTTTAGTTTTTCACCGCTCGCTACGTCACAGTCGCGGTTGCAGCTCACGGTTTTTGTATCAATATTATGGCCCCTAGACGAGGTGAAGGCCTCAATGATTCGGATCACTCTAGAAAGTCAGGTCACATGAAATATTAAGAACTAAACTTACCAAAAATAGTTAAATCCGACTTTGACAACAAACGAAAACTTTCAAGTTAAATTGTTTTTATATTGGATATCGCATTATATTAATTAAAACGTCGAGTTATATTATAACAGTTGACTTACTTTATAATTTTGTTGTAAAATAATATACCGTTTACAAAACAGTTTTTGACGAATTGAAACTGTCAAGATTTAATTCATGACAAAATCAACAATATGTCCTCCAACAGGTCATCCGGTCAGCGACATTACTTATTAAATAAAAATGCAAAGTCATCAAATGTTCACGTACCTTTATACCTTGTAAATACTGGAAGGATTTAATTTCAGGGTAAATATAAACTTAAAAACTTTTTTTATTATAGGGGATAAACGTTTCACAATGAATCACGAGCGTCAAACTACGAAAACAAACAAAAACGTCAACTGTCAATGCATACCTTTTTAAAATATGTTTACGGCTATCATACTCGACTTTTTAGTTATCTTGGGTTAAAGTTTGTCTAGCACTGTTGGCCGTATGTTCGTGTATTTAAAGTTTGTAAGAAACTTTTCGGCGGGGAGGCAAGGTAACTGTATGGATTATTTTATTTTGTTAATTTAGTGTTGCTTCTAGTTTAAACGTATAATCATGGTAGATTATCAATCGTTTAGCATCTGTGAAAGTGCAGAAGTTGAAACCCGAAGTACAAAAGTCGAACGCGAACGAAATTACATGTAGATTTCAGTAAATTTCATTATTGGGTATCACTGTTCTGTCTGTTTCTAAAGCATAACAGTTAGAAAGCGTTCCGCTATGAAAGGTGGACTACATAGTCTATACAATACAAATGAGTCTTTGATTTTATGTTTTGTGATCGGTGGCAATATTAACGTAGTGCTCGGTGCGACACGATAATCTATTTAATGTGACCGCTGCTTATTACATATCCGACTCAAAGGACGAGGCAACGTAAAATTACATCGCGAAACATGACCTATCCGATCCTTTCACTCACGGTTACTTTCTTCATCAATCACGTCAATTGCGACGAAGTTTTCGATGATCGAATTAACTCATAGACACAACCCACTGCGTTTCTGGCCGGATATTCTCAATGAGTCGTGATTCTGATCGGGTAATAGATTTTGCAGCGGCACTGTTCTTGCTAGGGCTAGTGTTAGCAAATTTTCTCAGGTTGAATTTCTGAGCTCATCTACTTGTTTGCGCGTAGCTGAAATAGCCCCTTAGACACCAGCGAATAGACAACGAATTATAAAAAATAACAGGTGCGTATTGCTCGTCAACTTATCTAAATCTAATAGGAAGGAATGAAACCAAATTGAATCATCTGAAATTGCAATGAGATGAGATGAGGTGACGTCGAAATAGAATTGTGTGCGTATTTTTGAAAAAGATACCGCTAAGCCATGTCCTGCGATTTTGTTTTATTTTCTCACACCTGCCCATATACACATGCTAAAAGATTACTAACCCACTATTATTACGCATTTGACCAAAAAGAATAATTGGCTGTATGGATTTTGTTTCCTTTGCTTTCACCTTGTTCTATGTGTGAAACAAATAAAAAAATCAGCGCATTTGAAACGGCGGTTTCTGATCAATTCTGTTTCGCATTCAAATGTTTACAAAATTTTATGTGAAATTGCATTGTGTACATGAAAGATTTAATACAAAATGAATATAACGACTTTTTCTAACAATAATGTTCGTGGCGATGATAGTAGTCCTATTATTCGAGCTAAAACATTTGTAAGTAATTAACATGATTCAACGAATATATAGGTTATGTTTGAGTTAAGTTATTTTTTTTGTTTCTTACAGAATATACCAGAAAAATGTTTCAATAAGGGCGTAGGATGTGCGTGGAGGAGTGGTAACAAGTTTTCTATCTACCCACGCAGTCAAACTGTTTCGAAAACACCAAAAAATGATGTCGAAAACAAAATACTCAATATACGTCACGAGATTGTATTATTTCATCCGATTTTACGAAAACTGGTAAACGAATCCAATGGTACATATTTATCTCTGCAGAAACTCGTCGATTCTTCAAAAAATAATGACAATCACGTGGAATTATTAAAACTTTCACGACAATATCGTTCTATTATAAGAGTGTGCATTGAAAACTTGCAAGAAGCCCTTAATGATGCGAAAGACGGCAGCGACATGATCAATTTACAATCATACATTACAATATTTTATTCTGTTGAATGTATTTGGCATTTATGTGAGATCCTTTACATAGATAAGATTCCCGGAGACATTGTGTTGCCATACCTCCTAGAATGGGTTCGATTCCATTTTCCGTGCCATGAGCAGACTGCAGCGCAGTTGCTGGAGGCCTGTGAGCGAGGTTCAGAAGACCACGATGACTATTGGGATACTGTGATTGGCATGGTTGTGCAAGGGCGAGTAGATGTCGCCCGAGCTCTACTGAAATTAAATTCATTATCAGAAACAAATGAATTTAAGCTTGTTGATAATTCATTACGGAGTATGCCTGTTTATAGTGTGAGTATAAAAATGAAATATAATTTCTAAAGTCAAATTATCATTTAAATTCCTCACAAATAAAGGGAAGAATTGATTTTCATTAAGTATTCCACAGTATAAATTAATTAAGAGCAAAAATTATACTTTGGATAGTTAAGAGACAATTTATCTGAACAATTCCATCACCATTTAGAGATGTTTGGAACATGCTAATAAGATATTTTATATGAATGTTTTTTCTTTATGAATGAAAGATTACTGGTGGCCCGGAGGCCTTTCCAGTTTCACCAGGACAGGTGGGCGAGTAAAGGCTCAGCCATATATGAACTTTACTCTTGTCTTATTAGATTTTTATGTCTAAACTACTGAATGACTGTTCACATGATATAGGTTATAGTCCACACATGTCAAACTTCAGCTGGAAAACTATTTTGGGAAAAACAATTAACACCATCAAAATTTATAAATTTATGTTATTATTAATTTATGTAACCATTGTGTCAGATCAAAGACTTCATTGTGGTTATGAAAAGTTGTATATTATTAAACAAATTTAACCTGGGATATCCTATAGCTAAAAGTTCGATCTTACCTCACATCTTGCCATAAACACTTTACATCTACATAACATGGATATAAAATTACAGATATATGGTGGTATATCAACTGGGGAGTTTACAGTAACTTGGAAGCATTGGCAGGCTGAATGCAGAGCTAAGGTTACTAGCAGAGTGTTGGCATCACAACCAAAACTTGAACTTATTATGAGAGTAAGTAAAGATGTGTGAATCAATTAAGTAACTGCATAAACTAGAAACTGTTCTTGTCCTCAAAATTCTTAGATTAAAGTGTATACCACCATCATCATCATTTACTACATTCAAAAAATTTGTAAAATTACCTATTTATCTATGCTAATTTCCCCGTTCTAAGCCAAATCAAATAGGAACATGGCAGATGCAAGCATACCTGTTGAATAACGGTAATAATAACAGCATAATATACAGCAAATAAGAACATTTAATTAATTTAATCAGTTAATCTATAACTTCAAAATAAATGAGTTATGATTTGAATATTGTGAAATGAATTTTTTTCTTAATTGAAAATGTTTTCAAGAATTATTTTTTTATATTATTAAGTGGTTCATTAATTAACACTAAGTCTTAAAATAGGCTTTAGGAAGATGAAGTGAGCTAATTAGGCTTATTTTTTATTATACTAAAACATTGTGTAATTCGTTTACTAATTTATACAATTTTGTCCCACAGTTAATCATAGGAGAATATTCAGCATTTGAGTCAATACGTAGCACATACACATCGTGGTTTGATATGTTGGGAGGCTACGTAATGTTCACAGCACCTTGGTCTAGGACTCATGAGTTGTCTGCTGCAGCATCGGCCTGTGCTGGAATGGGATCTATGCCCTCAGGCTCTAGGCTGGATAGGACTTTACGGGCATTGTTGGAAGGTGATATGCATCAAGTAAGTGACAGATGCCAGTAAGCTGGTAAAAAGATTAGTTAAATTTTTAATTAATTGGTACAGCCTGGCCATATACAAAGCACTGCGCAACCGGTGCAACCGTTTGTGCAGAGATGCTAAAAGACTTTACTTTCACAAATCACTTGAAAATCGCAGCCCTGCTCATACTTGGAGATTCCTTAAATCTGTCGGCATTGGCAAAACTCCGGTCTCTTCTGTCAAGGATACTGACTTGTGCGCCCTCAATAAGCATTTTTCNTAATTCTCATGTTGTATTTGTTATTTTAGTTATGTGTTCTACACACACTTATCACTTTTTATTATTATTCTCATTATCCTCTCGCAGGTCTGCTGGAAGAGATTTCTCAAAGAAATAAGCAGTGCCTTTGTACATAATTTTCCTATTACTCTGTACTGTGTCTTGTTTTCTGTGTGTACATAAATAAATAAATAAATAAATAAAATAAATAAATAAATTTTAAATGGTGTAATTAATATTAATAGACAAACCTGAGCAGTTAGCTTAATACATCTATTTACAGCACAAATAAGTGAATAATTGCCCTCAATTTGGCAATACAAAGGTAGAACAAATTTTAAATCTCAAGATTAAAAAATACAATTGAGTTAACTAAAAATTGGATTTACCCAATTGACATTTCCAGGTAATTCATGAAATCCAGCATATAACAGATAATGGATGGTTTGCAACACATCTATCAGACATATTGTATCATTGTGGAAAATTAAAAGTATTGGATAAACACCAAAATAAGTGAGTAGGATTTGAGAATTTTCTGTTTTATTGTCTCTTACTTTTTGAAGTCCTTGTGGCCTGCGAGAGATGACATGCGTTGTGTTTGCATCGAGCCATACTATGGTGCCAGTTATTGAATCTTGCAGGCTGTTATCAATTTGTCTGTACTCAACAAATGTTCACGATTGACTTCAACAGTGAAGGAATAACATTGTTTATTGCATAGTTACTGGTGGCAGGGCACCTTGTAAGTTAGCATGGGTAGGTGCCACTGCTTTTCCCGTTTTTGCTGTGAAACAGTAATACGTTTCGGTTTTAAGAATGGGGCATACTGAGAAACTGATTTAGAATTAATATCTTAAGGCGGGTGGCCGCATTTACGTTGTTGAGGTCTCTGGACTCCGGTGACCACTTAACGCCAGGTGGGCTGTAGGCTCGTCCACCAATCTTAGCAATAAATAAATATCAATATAAAAAAAACTATTTAACCTCATTGATGTTGAGGTTTCGATTGTGTTCAAACCATCTTTAAAACTAATCATGAATAATCATCCAATCATAATTAATCATTTTTTAATATTTGATTGTGTCAACTTTTAGTTAAAAAGTATTAATCAATCTTGAAATATGTGGCAGTATTGCATTCATTGTGTATCATTGTTCATCCTATAGGTAAAAGTTACCACAAGCAGGGCCTGTGAGCCTAGCTATCTTCACTTATAAATGAAAATAAGTGTCACATTTTTTTACTGCAATCTCATTTTTTTCTCCAGAAGAAGAACATTCATGCTTAATTTGAGTAATAATATTATTTTTATAGTGTAACTCAACGTCTCCGAGACAGTTTAATTCTTGAATATGGAACCTTGATAATGGAGCACAAGTCACTCTGGTCCGTCGGACTATCCTACCTTGCTTCATGTCCCCCTGAAGGTCTATGCCGAGCTCATTTGTTGCTAGAGAGGATTCCGATCAATACTCATGCCAAAGCTATGAGGGTTGTTGCTGAAGCTAATAAATATGGACTTTTGGAAGTTGGTAAGTACATGAAGTATTACTATGAATTTAATTTGAATGTGGCAGTCTTTCGTGCCTATGGTATATAATATATGATTTCCAAATGGAATTCTTAAGAAATTATTTGATAAAAACCAGGAAGGAGTAGTATTATGAAAATAAAAAAAATGGGAAAGCTGCTTCATAGTTAATTTGAACTCTGATAACCATTAATAAGTTAAATTAACTAGTAACTCCTACGAGACCGTTTCCAATATGCAGCATGAGTTTGTTGATGAATTGTGTGGTGGTTGGTTGCAGGCGAGGGCGTGTGGCGCGTGTTGTCGGGGCGGCACAGCGCGGCGGGGCGGGACGGCGCGGCGCTGAGCGCGGCGGTGCGCGGCGGCGCG